CTGCTTGATGTTGTGATATGATAAAAATCTGTGCCTTGGAAGAATGAGAGCTCTCCTTGTCTTATCTCCCTCCCCTTAGGAAACCTCTGTCATGCTCCAAACTCTGCAGCTCACCCCTTCTGTAAGCGGCAATGCATTCCTGCTTGATGGAAGTTTGCCCTGCGTGGCTATGACGAGGCTGGGGGTTCCACCCAGCGCTGGCAGCAAGTGATTCATTCTGCATTATTATCAGTGCCTGGGAGCAGAATGTGGCCAATGGGCCATGGAAGTGGAATTAATTTCTACTTAATTGAAAAACTGGGGGGGGGAGCAGGGGATGGAATTGGAAGCTGGGACCTGGTGAAGGCAGCTCACCCTGGGAAGCGCTGGTAGGATGGTGTTTGTTTGTACATGAGATGCTAGCAAAGGCACTTTGGTTGCACCCCATGCGTCTCTCCCAGGCCATGCTGCATAAAGGGGAATTGGAGGATACGATTGGATTAGTTTTATTGCAAAGACTACAGTGCATTTCAGGAAGGGAGCCTTTGCTTCCCAAGCCTGTTGTGGTGATAATCCCAGCATTGCATCCCCAGGCCAGCTCCAGCTGTAACTGAAATGGCACCTTGCAAACAGCAGATCGTCCCTGCTGGTGGCACTGGTCCAAGCTGATAACAGAGCCTGACTTCGTTCATTGCCACAGGTGCTGAATTCTCTTTTGCATCCAGGTAACTCAAGGCTACTTTTCCACTGAGCCTTACAACTCATGGCTTCAAGTCCTTTTGTCGTGCTGTTGGCATGTGACAAATGCATCTTCCTGAATGCTAAAGCCATGAGGGTTTTCTCACAGCCTGGAAGCCTGGTGGGAGCTCCACTCTCCATGGGGGATCCAGCAGCACTAACCTAATGCAGACATCTCTGCTGGCCCAGGACAAACCCTATGACCATACTGAAAATCCCGCTTTTTGGAATCATTCCAGCTTCTCTTTGAAGTGAAACTGAGGGTCAGAGATGCCTGTCAGCCAACCTAAGCCTGGTGCTGAAGATGAGCTTAACTTGGTGCAGCAATGGGAATTACTCAGTGCTGGAACATGAGCTGTTTCCTAGCCCCACCTGGTCCCTTGGGTCTTGCAGCCTGTGGGCAGTCTCTGTGTTTCAGGCTATTCTCCTGGACACAAGGCCACTGTTCCCTCTGAAACCCTCTGCTGTAGCATTTTGTGGCTGCGGGCTTGCCCAGCGTTGACATTTGCATGGGAACGCAGTCAAAATCTGTTCAGGAGCTTCTCAAGGGCAGTGATGCAGGGAAAATGTTTCTTCCCCTCACAGGGAAAAGGCTTCTTCACAGGGAACTCCAAGGGGTTTGTCTGAAACCTGAACGCAAAGGGGGGCACAAGGCTGTCGTGGTAGAATTGGAAGCATTGAAAGCACAACTGATTACAAAGGTTGCCTTCATATACTCCATATATATATGTATACCCCATAGCAGGTTGGTTTCCCCACTATTAATAAGCTCTAACCATTCCCTCTAATAGCTATAACCACAGCTATATTTGTCTTAAACATTGGAGAACCCTATCCAAGATGAAGTTCAAGAGCAGCTCCTATAGTCCTAGCTATTCCCAAGGACATGTATTTACCCTGCACCTTCGCACGGACAAGGTATGTGGCTGACTGACCCAGTAAATGAGAACACTATAATGGGAAAAACACAGCTGTGTTTAGTCCAACAACTTGTCTCCTGGCGCACCAACCTTTGCCTCAATAAGCAACTGTGTTTGTGTTGGTGGCTGTGCTTTCTAGGCCTTCAGCAGGTCTGGAAACACCACAAGCAAACAGAGCGAGTGCATCCAGCTCAGACTCGGAGATGTCTTAAGTCTGGGGAGGAAAAACAGCATTTGCCTTTCTACTGTAGCTTCACCATGAGCTTAAGGCAAAGAAAGTATTTGCAGGTAAGCAAACCAGCTCCTCATGCCTGCGGCTCCCCAAAAGGAAGGTGTATAGCACTAGCAATCAGTGTTTGCTCTCTCAGACAGCAGGACCACTGGTTCCCTCCTGGGATGCTGAACATGCAGGTTGCTTTCGTGTGTGAAGGGATCTGGATTATGAAATCTAAACAGAAGAACGGATTGTGATTTAATATCTAGAAGGAAATGAAGCTGCAAATAAGGCTGAGGACTTATCTGTCCATTGAGCAACCAGGCTAATAAGGGTTAATAAGCACTGAAGATTAGCCTTGCAAATTCGGTCTCTACATAACCAACCAGTTTTTCCAGGAAAAGAAAAGAAGTTGTGAAGGTGACTTGCAAAATATGTCTGAATGTAGTAAATATGCATGGCTCCAGTGCTAGTGCCTGTAAAAGGATGTGAGGTGACAGAAGGAAATCCAAGATCAAGTTTAAAAAGCGAAAAACCTAACATCTTATTTAAACTCTGCTGGATGCCAGCTCTCCCCAGGACTGAAGCCCGACTCCTTACTCACCATGACACTGTAATTTCCACTGTAATCTTCCCAATATTTTTTGTTCCATTTCTCCTGTAATAAAACCCCCTGACTTCTGTACTCTGCCCGCTTGCTATTTGAATGTTTGTGAATGCTGTCACCCTTCAAAAGGGTTTAGGCAGGCAAGGGCAAATAAGAACCAAGGCTGAGTAGCTGATAAATCTCAGCCTGCAGCACTGCACGAGTGGATAATCCCTGTAGCCTAAAATCCCAGTTTATCTGTGATCCTCCATATTCTGTCCAAGAGATGAGCTGTCATAAACCCTTTGTTTTTCATGAAGACTGCTGAATGGAAAGGCACCCTCCTACCCGTCCAAATAGAATATATAATTATACAAAAGCAGCTGACCCCTATTATCTTGTATGTCAACCTCAGCAGCTTTTCTGACCAATTTGAGAACTCAGTCACATGCAGATGCTGATTGAAGCACTCAAAAGCAGGCCAGATGTTTAACATAGACACTCATCCCTGACATCGCCAGCACCCAAGCATAGCTACACAGGGAGAAGTGGTATTGTCAGTATGTGTTATACTTGAGCACAAATGAGTATGTTCTCCCTGTGCATTTTGGGATGACTTCCTTGCTCTGCATTATTCTGCTTCTAACTTTAATACTGATTACGATGTATTAAAATAATCCATTCCTTGATGTCTAGAGCAGTGAACTTCCATCAGCCCCATGCAAAAAGAACAAGAATTAGTTACAGAAAAGCTCCTTAGATGACAGTAAACCATTTTTCCTAACAGCATATTGACAGTGCAATTACTATGATACTGTAGTGCCCTTCACCAGAGATACTCACCCAGAGAACCTCTACAAGTATTATTCAGTTTGAACTTTTCCTCTCCACCCTAACCTGGGACTGAATGGTTCTTCTTTTTAAGCAAAAGGCATTATAGTGGAGGGAAGCTGAGAGCTCCACTCAGGATCACACCAAAAGGCAGTGGTAAAACTAGATTCACAACATGAAGCTGAGTCAGCCTCTTCTAAACCACACTCCCCCCATACCAATTATTTAGCTATGCTATGGAGTTACAATCACGTTCTTGGGAAGACAGGGTTTCTTTTAAACCCTCAACTAATTCCTCTATTTGTGTGTGTGTATATGGGTGTGTTTGCATGCACAGATTTACAGCCTGGGTTATACTATGTCTTCTTGATGGCGATGTGGAAGTACGGTGTATGATACTGTGTTGGATGGCAGCTATCTACTGGCTTTAAATAACAAGGTCGGGCTGCAGTGGCCATGCAAACCCCTGTCACTGCCAAGGGGTACGGGTGCTGGCTCATCTGTGCCCCACACAAGGAGGAGCCCAGCACATACCGCAGCAGCAGGAAGGTGCATTGACGTGGATGAGTGGACATGTTCTCCTCTCACTAATCACCACCTCCCCACCCTAAGCAAGCTCAGCTCAGCTTCCTGCTGCGCAAACACCTCGCTCTTACCTGCCTCTGAATGGGCTCAGTCTGCACCATGGGGGAACAGCAGCTCTGCACTAGGCAGACAGAAGGCCAGGAAGCCTTTTTCTACCCGTGTCATGGTGTTTGCCTTTATTACCTAAGGGCCATAAGACACAGAGAGCTTTTTGGCTGGAGAGCTGAGTTTAGTTATAGGGCAAAAGACTAAAGCTAGAGCAGTCATGTCTTCATTCAGCTCTGGGAGGAAGTACTGGGTCACTTCTTGGATGTGACTGTAACATCATCACAGTTTAATAGCCTTGCATCAGAGATGGATTCAGTTCAACTCCATTGATTTTTTCCCCACTGAGATGAAAAAAGTCAGCTACAAAGGACAACAACCACATGGCCATTCCCTACCCTCCTCCTTTGGCTCATGAGCCACTGGTCCTCCTTGGTGACACACACATGGAAACAAGCACACCCATGATCCCTTAGGTACAAAAGCAGACCAGGAAGGCCGTGCATACCTAGAGATGCATACCACTTAGGTTATGTTAGCACAATTAATTGTTTTAGGCATAATTGTCCTTATCACCTATGCTAACATCAGTAGTAAGCAGGAAACTACTGCTCCAAAGTGTTACCACAGAGTGCCTAGTACGGTGTTGGTGACTTAACAGATACAAATCAGGAGAACAGAATGCAGCTATGATGTTTTAACTGATACAGCTATGATGTTTTAATTGATGCAGAGCTTTTGCTACATGACTAAACTCTCTGAATTCACCATAAAATACATCGGTGGAAAGATCATTTCTCGCCCTTTGCTCTTGGAGAAGAAAATGCACCCAGCACCAAAGCTTGGCAGGATGTGATTTTGGGCTGGTTTTAACCTAATCAGGTATTCAGCCCTGTCACCTCGGTCACCCTCCGCCTCTCTGCACGCTTCCCCCCCACCCCTACCGCCCTTTGGTACCGTCCACCACCTCCTCCCAGCCCCTTTGGTACGCCCCGCCCCGCACGCTGCCGGCCCGCCCTCCCAGCAGGGGGCGCCGAGGGCGGTGCCCACCCGGGGCAGGGGCGACACCGCGGCGGCACTTCCGGTTGGTGGCGGCGGGGTCGGAGCCGGGGCCGGGGCTGGGGGCAGCTGGGCCGGGGGAGCCGCGCCGGGATGGCGCTGGACGTGCGGCGCCTGGAGGCGCTGAGCCTGCAGGAGCTCAGCGCGCTGCTGGACGACGAGGAGCAGCTACAGGACATGGCCCGCGAGATGGAAGAGGTGAGGGGCACTCCGCGTCGCCCCCGTGTCCGGGCTGCGGCCTCCTCCCGGGCCGGCTCCCTCCTCAGCCCGCCGGGGCGCTGCCCGCCGTGTCCAGGGGGCTCGCTGTCCCATGTCCATGGCCGGTGCGGGTTGTGGGGTGTTAATGACCGCCTCCCCCACGCCCCCCCCCCGGCTCAGGTGACTCCCCCCAGCCGGGCCCTGCTTGAGCCGCTTGGCGGTCGCGGGTCCGCCATGGAGCGGCCGGTGAATACGGAGCCTCTGTGCTATGGGAAGCGCTGCCTGCCCCTCTGTCCCCCCTTCCCTCCCGGCCTTTTGTTTGCTGGCCCTCGGTGATGGAGGGGGGGGGTCCGTGCCTGGGCACTTGTCCCGGAGGCCGGGTGCCAGGGGAGGGCCGAGGGCTCGGCGGGCAGAAAACGCTCGGTTTGGACTAAATTAGGAGACAGTGACGGGCCGGAGGTGGGATCAGTTTTTCCGTTAATGCAGCCCTTGTTCTGTGCCTTGGCCATGAGGGAGGATTTTGTCAGGGTAAAGTCGGTCCTGCTTGTGAGCTCGATCTCGGCGCAACTTTAATTCAGAACAATATGAAAGAGATGTCTGTGTGCCCGAGTTGGTATGCTGGGCGCAGCGAGGGCTGTCAGGCTCTCTGGTGCTTGTTTTGCCCGTTTGAAATGCCTTTGTCAGTGTATCGGACTCTAAGCTGTGCTTTTGGAGCTATGGTGATTGAAACAGAAGCCCGGTTTCTTCCCCTGCTGTGGTTGTCTTTTACTGGTTTTTCTATATACCAGTGGGCACTGTGTTAACAGTTGTGATGCAAGGCTGTTGAAGGTTATATGGCCACATATGTGGCTGAAAGACTGTAGTCAGCTAACAGCAAATAAGATGAAACCATTTAGATGAAAACTTTTAAGGAAAGAAATGTGCTGAACTTCTCTGGGTCTTGTATTTGTTGGGTTGGGTTTCAGTTCAAACTAGAGGACAAAAACGCTAAGAAAAGAAAGGAAAAGTGTCAATATGTTCTTGAGAAAGATTAGTTTGTTAAGTAAAATCAATTATAATTGCTTTCCCTCTAAGATGCCTGCCCTTTTGGTACTTCCAAGGGAATTGTTCTGGGTCACCTCAAACCATATTGTCAAAGTATTACAGATGCAGAGGCCCACTGAAGGTCAAGGTAATAAGGTGTCCTTATGGTATTTACTTGCTGCATTGGGCAGCAGTTTGTATTTTGAACTTCATGTCAATAGATTTGAAAGAGGGGGCAGGCATTGTAGCTTTCCATTTGAGCTTGTATTTTAGGAACTTAAACTGCTGAAGAAACAGATACTGCTGTAATAAATGGAACACACAGATCTTAGAAGCACTGTGGTTTGCTGGAGGGCAGGAGTACCCTTCTGTTAAAAACTGAGTAAGGAAAGCCAGTAGATTAGAATGGTCTTAACTTTGTAAAGATATAAATGGGTGCAGTATTGATCTTTTCCATGTGACCTCTGACAAAGTGCATGACCAGGTCTGGCTCAATGGGCTCTTTTGATATTTATTTGTCAATACACACTTAAGACTGTAGGTCAGAAGTGACAGAAAACCTCATGACCTTAGTAGAAAAGGTTCTCTTTCACTGCAGAACTCGACCATATTCTCAATTTGACCCTCTGGTTTTCCTCTTCAGTTGGCAACAGAAGGCTTTTAAATTGTAGAGTAAACTTCTCTGGGCCTGAGGGAATATTTTGTGGTGCTTGGAAAGTGTGGCTAGGTTTGAAGGTATTCAAGCTGTGTGGAAATATGGCTGTGTATAATCCTCTTTTATTGTGCAGGGAGGCTTTTGCTAGAGTCTGCCCAACTAGAAACGCATTTACCCACCTTGGAAGGAATGGGCCATAGTTGAATACTTCTTCCTCATTCTGGTTTTGTCTTCACTGAATTGTTCGTTTCTTGAGTTTGTGCTGCTGGGTCCTGAGTTTTCATTGTGAAGCATGTGGCAGGAAGAGGGAGAGAGGGAAATCCTGAACGTTAAGAAAGAGCTGTGGTGACTTCACTGCTACTTGTGTAGGTGTTTGGTTGTCAGTCCCCATGTATCTAGGTTGCAGAGTTGTTCCAAAGTCCTTAAATTAGTAATTTTACTGTGGTGTGCCGATATAAATCGTGATTCCTGAGTCATTTCTCTGAGGTCATTTGTCTTTGCAGTGACAAAGTTGGCTAAAGCTGATTACTCCATGGCTGAAAAAAACCTTTGTTCTCGTCGCAAGGGAAACCCAGCTCAAACCCCAGTGTTGTGTTCGCAAAGAGGAGGATTTGGAAAACCACTTGGCTTTCTTGCTAATAGCTAAAAATAGGCACTTCCAACCTTAAAGGGAATGTATTCCTGGGTGGCATTTGAGCAGGATTTGTGGGTGTCACTGTGGGGGTGTGTGTATGTATCTGCATGTGTGAGCTGGCATGCACATTCGTGTTTCACAGGGGTAGTGTGCATATACAGTGTCCTTCACACTGTATCCCCAGGTGTGTAAAAATGTGGCAGCAAAGAGCTAAGCTGCTGCTTTTTCTGTCTGGAAGGTTGTTTTTGAAGCCTGTGGGCTCGAACAACGAACATCTTGTCTGGTAGAAGGAGGAAGGAAGCCAGTTGTCTGGTACTTCTAGTCTTTTAAAATTGAGGAGGGTTGGTTTTTTTCTTTAAAAATCCTTTGAGGTTAATCTCTGCAGCACATCTACAGATCTTAGATTTTATTTCATCTTCATGAAATAAAAGTGTGTTGCTTGTAAAAGTGATTTTTGGTGTAACAGCATAAATGGGAGACTTTGTGACCTGACGCTGGTGGTGATGTGTTTTCCTTTTATCTACTGGAACATCACTTTAGTAAACAGTGTGACATTATGTTACTGACCACTAAGGTTCTACCGCCAAGAAGTGTTTGCTCTTCAAGACCTTAATTATAGGAAATCAAGGAGTCAGAATTGTATTGCCTTCCTCTCAGTCCAGGATTTCAGAGCACACTGGAAAGCACAAACAGGGCTTTTGGGCATAGTCCTTTTCTCAAAAGCTGGTTGAAAAGATCGGGCAGTGCCGAAAGCCCAAGTTAAAACTATGTGAATTCATGCCCAGATTTCTTGGGATTCCCACTCCTGCCCTAAAACCACATTGTGCAAGTGGTTATGTTCTTGTTTGCCAAACATGAAATTTAGTTACAAAGTTAGGAATTATACTTGGTGGCAGCCATAGATTTTTCTGTTCCAGCTAAGCACGGAATGAGTGACCTGCCTGTGCCTGGTGAGTGCAAATTGCAGTTCTGGGTGTCTCTTTCCTCTACAGTAAACATCGAGGAATCGAAACCTACCCTTTAACCTTTATTTAGTCATTTTTAAAGGTAGTACTTCTATAATCAGAAGATCTAAATTTAGCAAATCTAATGACTTTGGAATATGTATTAATATTTATTACGAAACAGATGTTGTTAGAGGGTGTGTTATCGTATACCACCACTTGATGAGAAGCACACTTAAATCTTATGTAAAAGAAGTCTTTATTCTCCTACTATGCACCTGTCAGCTCCTGTTTCAGGGGTAAATTTGACACTCCAAACGTGCATCCTTATACTTCCCCAGTGTGACTGCATAATTCATTCCTGATTCACAAATGTGTGTAAGTGAAAGAGAAAATGTGAGCATGATAAAGGCTAGAGCAAGACCGGAGAAACCTAAAACTAATGTGGATTTATGCTGGGTATAAAGCAATTAAAATGGTGCCACACAAAACTGTATTTATAGCTCCTTAAAAGACTTTTCCTTGAAACTAGGGAGAGACTACTTGCCATGTTGCTTGCCAAAGCAAGCTTACAATTATAGCAGCTCTTGATGGACTCTGTGGGTAGTTGGGATTTTGCTTGCTCAGGCTGCATCTCTGGAGGCAGTTCTTCTGAGAACATGCTTATGGATGAACAGGAGTGACGCTACTTGGGGACATTTGGCACAGAGAACTCTTTCTGCAAGCCATTATTTTGGAGTAACTGTTAAACAGTAAGATGTTGCTAAGCTCTTTTAATTTTATCCATCATTTTTCTTCCTTTTGTAAAAGTGGAATGAAAGAGAGATACAGTTGATGAAAGCAGTAGAATCTCAGTTCCCAAAGCACTTGCCGCTGCCTGTTCTTGGAAGTGCTTATTAAATAAACCCTTGAGTAAAATTATTCAAATTATTTCTGTTAAAGAAACCCACTTTTTAAGCATCTTAAGCCTTGAAGTGCTGCAGAAACCACTTTTTTTGCCTGGAGTGGTTACTCCACTGTGTGTCCATGGCTTCATTTTCTTGCAGTGCGCATAATTTGGTTTGAGTGGTCTGCTCAGTGGTGAGCAATCCTTCTGCCATTAAAATCCTGTTATAAGCAGCTCAGTGTTATTGCTCCATTTGTGCCATTCAGAATTCACAATGAGAGCTTAGCAGTTAAAGGAAAAGCATATGTTCTTTTCAATATTGCCCTGCCTCGTGTCTCGTGATTCTGACTGGTATTTCTCTTCTCAGATTAATGTTTCCTGCCTGTTGAAGTGCTCGTGACCTCAGTAGTTTCGTTAGCAGTTCTCCTAGAATCTCATACTGTTTGCTTATGTCTCTTAAGAACTCCATTTTTCATGGCACTTCCAGTAGGCAGGTGAACATCTGATACAGTACCAGCTCCCTGCTAATAACACAATGTTGTCGCACAGCACATCTGACAACAAAATAACTTCTATTGGATTTATGCCTTGCTTGGCTATTGTCTTGGGCTTGTGGAGAGCTGTGAATGGATGCTGAAGGCATGCTTTGTGCTGCACTGATAATCTTAATAGACTGGTCATGCAGTATCTTTGACCCTTGGATGATTTTGCAACTCTTTGGAGTGTTTTCGTTCTTGTTTTATTTTAAATTAGCCAGTGTTGAAAGTGTTCCTGTTGGGCTTTTCAGGCAAACTTCACAGTGTTTGCTTTTCTGGTTCCCTGAATTGACTTCCAAATGCAGTGGAACAGTTGCCCAAAAACTTATTACACAGACATACATCAGTGCCAGAGATTGTTCTGGTATGTAGAATCGTGCCTGTATTTGAGTTGTGTTGCTTTGAGGTTATAGCTGTTCTATTTGTTGTGAAATAAATTCACTCATTCCAGAGACTTCTCACTTAATTTCAGTGACATGAAGCATTTAAAGGCACTGCACAGGTGGATGGGTTTTCCCCAGCTCCTCAGGTTCCATTTGAGAAGCTGCTTCTCATGGTTTTGAGTAAGATTCAGGTGAAGTTTCTCATCTCTTCGAGTGTCTATTTTTAAAAGAAGTCTCACACAGACTAACGCTGGAAGTGAAGACACTTGAACTGATCATTAAATGTCAGTCGTGCTTGTTCTTCAGCTTAGAAAAAACATGCCCTTAGAAGTGCTATAATATGGAGAAAGCTGAATCACTGAGTCTTGTGTAATTTTAAGCACTGTAACTTAAAGTGTGATTATGAACACCTTTTTCAGTTGTGAAACAAGTATTTTGAAGACTTTCACTTAGGTTTACACTATAATTGCTGGATATCAGGTGCTACGGACAGACAGGGTGTCACTCAGCTTTAGATGGAGGTAGGTTCAAATGCTGATTTTTTGTCTTATTTTTACAAGTCAAAGTACATCATATACTGATGTTTATTCATTTTTACAAATGTGAAATGACTTCAAAGTATTCAAAAAAATCATGTGTAGAAAGTTAGGCATTTGCTTCTTCCTCAATGCCTTAGTCCTGTTGAGAGACATGATGGTGCTTGAGGCAGGCGAACTACGTAGAAGTAATGTCTTAAAACGCTGCAGAAGCCTCACCTAACTTAAGGAAGCTTTTTCTCTTATTCTGTTTATCTGGAGTCCTTCCCTCTCCTCTTCCTTATATATAATTTCAGTAAAAGGCTCCTTTTCCAGGGGTTTGTGCTCTTCCAGGGTTTCCAGGCTGGTGTTCACTGGCTTTTTTCCCTCTCTAGAGGAAATACACATGTTCTTCATCCTGCAGAAGGATCAAAGTTCACTCAAAAAACTGGTCTTCCCAGACTGACTGTGCAACTGCTTTGAAATGAAAGTATGAGCCTTACAAGCAGTGAAAATACAATCACCAAATCAAACTGAAGTCGCTTGAAGGAAGTAGTTTGCTCATTAAAATGGTGAAAGAGGAGAGGCACCAGAAAGCATGAATCTTTTTGCACGCAATGTTCTTTGGCTGGCAGTTCAGAAGACAGCCAGTTAATAAAGCTTGTGGTGATGGCAGGTGATTTGGAAGGAGCTGGGTGCCAGTAATTAAGCTGTTAAGTCCTGTATTTTAGTTCCCTTCATTGTTAGAAAAAGAAATGTAAAATAGGGGGCTTTCTGGAAGCAACAGTTCTTAACATCATTGCATCATATGAGAAGATACAAATGGAAGCAACCAGTTTAATTTAAATGATTTTGCATTGGATTTAAAAGTGAGAAGGGTGGATTTTCTTTTTATGCTTGGAAAGGATTCAAGTTGAGCACAAGCATAGGGCTGGAAGCTTGTTTAGGCTTGATGTGAGAATCTTGAGGAGACAAAACAGCATCACAAGTACAGCTCCTCCAATTTTCACGATTTGGAATAGAATTCTATTTTGATTGATGTAGAATTTAGGAGTCAGGATTATCCTTGATAGTTTTTTAAATGATTTAGCAAGAACAGGGTGAAAGTAAAACTTTGGTATTTTAAGAGCAGTATCTGGGGACAAAGATGTGTTTAGCATTGAGCCAGTTTTGAATTTAGCAGATTAAAGTGGTGCTTTGAAAGGAGGTGATAGCTTTCAAAGACACGGTTGCTATGCTTGGGAAATGTTTTTACCTGAGCACCCAGTTCTGTGCTCAGGCTGCCAAAACCACCTGAATTCTGTCCTTTTCTGGTGCTTTTAAATAGCTCATTCGTGTTTCTTCTTTTCCTGTTTCTGAGGTGTGGCTCTTGTATACCCACCCATGCATGTGAAAGGAAGAAAAAGCACTGTACTCTTTGTGTTTGCACTGAACTACAACTGTCCATAAGTAAGATCTGTTACGGCTAACCAGGGATGATGTGTGCTAGAAGTGGCATGTTAGTGTAGGAGGTCATGAAAAGCATACCGAGAGTTTCATTGATTTTGAAGGCAGCTTAATGGAATCAGTCTGTTGTGCCATGGAAAAACTACCCCACTTGTTGATTCACACTGAAAATGTGAAACCAGATATCCCCTGGCATTTGGTGTTTTGTGGTTGTGTTTGGTTTTTATTCTTTTGATGTCTGAGTATTTTAATGAATCGGATGTGACATCTAGGACGGGCTTCCCTAAACATTCAGCTTTCCCAAAGCTCATAAAGGCTGTCTTGATAAAATTGTGTGCATGTGTGTATGAACAAACCCAGAATCTTGCTGAATCTTGGTTTGGTGAGATTTGTCATTTATTCCTTAGGAATAATGTCTTTGGGCTAGGATATGTAAAGCAGAATGATTAAGCTGAAAATCAAGCTTTTTGTATCAATCCAGGATTGATTTAACATAGTTGGGGAAGAATATTCTGGACAAGGTACAGTAATGATGCGGTCCTTGTGTTTTGCATTTTAGTAAGATAAGGGATGACATTCTTCTGCAGTCTTACTGCATCCGCTGGGATTCAAAGGGGCTTTTTAGAGCAACTGTTGCTTTATCTGTCAACATTCGTTATGGAGCAATAGTAAGTGGTGTGTGAGGAGGGGATGAAGCAACATTTGTGTTAAACAATGAAGAAAAATTCCTACAGAGCACCTTCAGGTAGCAGGGCATGAATGCAGAAGTCTGATCTCTCGGGACTGTGACAGCCAACGGTCAGACTTTGCTAAGTCTGTGACAAGAGTTAGCAGAAACTCTGGTGACATAAGTTGCCACTTAGCATGAGTGCCCAGACTAGTTTCTCCACAGTAACACTGCTGTGGCATCAAAACCTGCCTCTTACAGACAGTTCAGTGCAGCAGGAATGCAGTTCCTGTTCTGGTCAGCCAAAAGCAGCTCTGCCAGCGAAGCATTCATGGGCACCCTGCTCCAAGGAGAAGGGTTCTAACGAGTCCTTGTCCACAGCACAAACTCTCTTAAGTAATTACTGTTTCCAGCTTGGAGAAGAAAACTGTTTAATGAGCTCTCTGCTGCACATGGAGATAAATGTGCAGGAAAGTGACTTCAGGTCAGTATTAATTCCTGTTCAGAAAGCGATTCATTTACAGGTGCTCAGAGTTGAAAGAAGAGGTCCTTCTTCACAGTGCAGTTCCTCTGAAAGTCTTTGCTCCATGAGCTTCAACAGTCCATTGTCATTTTAGATGATTTCAACACGCTTTTTGCAGTAGAGACCTTCTCATTCCTTCTACATAAGCTAGCAAAGTAGTGTATTAGTAGAGCAAGAAAATACAGTTTGTGAGAATGGATTTTGTGTAGCAAAAAAAAGAAGACATGGGAAAGAGTTCAACAGCTGAAGCTGTGCCCGCCAAACAGTAGGCATTCCCACTGTTCATAGAGGCCATAAGTATTGTTATTATTTGCAGGTCCAATGCCATGGTGTTAATTTTTACAGAGAGCTTAATTTAGTAGTTTCTTTATAAGTTTTGATACTGCCACATTATCTAAGTAACCATTAGTCTTGCTTAATATTTTCACTGTCATTTCATGCATTATTTTTTTACATTTCCAGGCCCAAAATGTTCAACACAGCAAGGACATGACTCTTGCCAGCAACCGCAGTCTGGCAGAAGGCAATCTGTTGTACCAGCCAAAGTTGGAGTCTTTGAAATCAAACTTGACTGAAAAATATCGGGAGCTGCAAGTTCTTTTTGAAGCATACCAGATAAAGAAAACAAAACTAGGTAATGTTTTCTGGTGACAGCTCTGATTTGCTGTTTTCTAAGTGAATGTAAATCTGTTGCATGTTTTTGTTTGGTTTTTGGTGTCTCATTTTTAGCTGTGTGAATCAGGGTAATGTAGTTTTGAAACAGATCATGCTTCTAATGATTTATTAAGCATCTGTTACATCTAGTAGCAGGTACTGTGGATTCTTTCTGTGTGGTTACCTGTCTGTTGTTGACCTACTCTTCTCTAGGATAAAATTCATTCACCTTGCTAAAAAGCAAAACCATTTGAATTTTCAGTGACTAAGCATAAATCAAACAGAATATTGCATTTAACTTTCTCATTTCAAACTGAATCACGAAGTGTCGTACATCTGATACTGCACTTGCTCAAGTGCTTTGCCTTTTGATATTACATCATTGTAATTACATTTCAGCTTTTAGCGTTCTGACAATATTCCTGAACTACTTAATCTATTTTCTTACTGTAGAACATCCTGTCTTGAACAATGCTTGTTGTATGTACATGCCTTAGAAATTTGTGTGCTTGCTGAGGCTGTAGAGCTTCAAAGTCCCTTAGAGCCAACTGACATTTACTGTTCTTTTTGTGCCATTACAGACAGACAATCCAGTAATGCTTCACTGGAGACACTGCTAGCGCTGCTTCAGACAGAGGGGGCTAAGATTGAGGAAGACACAGAGGTAATGACAGTACACTTCAATTCTGCTAATGACAGTACACTTCAATTCTGCCACTTACACACATTACTGAAGACTTCCAATGTTACACAGCTGCAGTGAAGTGTTGGACACGTAATAGACAAAAAGGGTCTTTTAAATAACATGTTCTGATCTTTGCTTTGAACTTTGGTGATAAGCCATTTAGTTTCAGCAAGATTTTTTTATCCAAATGGTATTTTTTTTTACTCTTTAAGAGAGAAAATGTTCCTTTTCAGAAAAGAAAGCCAAACTGTCTTAGTTCCTTGGCACTGCCTTCAAATTCATAGTGTATCAGTATGGAATGTTTTCTTCGATGGTGTTTGCCTGGTGTATATATTAATCCATTATAAATATCAGTAACCTAATGAAAAGTGGTGCCTGCACTGTTTTTTTTCTCCAGCATTTCTGGTGAAACATTCCATTATGATTTCAACATATCTGTCTGGGGCCAGTGGTCACCACTTGCTGCGATACAAGAGCTTGAAGAATGGTCTATTTTAGACTAATGGAAGTATTTGGTTTTGCTTGCTGATTTGCCTGTAGGACATTTTCTATACCAGTATCAGGGGAAAAAATCTGCTTACTGGCCTCGAGTTGTGACCACAAAAAGACATTCCCAGGGCAAGTTGAACTTTGTGACTGTAGGTATGGTCCCCTGTCTTAATAATTAAACATCATTTACCCAAAACCACAAGTACGAAGCCTGGCTTGGCAGTAATCTGCTTCTCTGTCCTGAGTCTTGCAGAGTTCTCAGTGTTTCTGTTGGCACTGCGAGCAGTACTGAGCTGTAACTCAGCTTAGCTGACAGTCTGGAAAGCTGTTGAATTTGGTCTGTTCCCACCTCTGATAATAAGGGGAATGTTCAGAACTAGATTCAGATGTTCTTGGTGCTGTTGCTTCAGTATAAATTTAAGAGGAAATTATATTTAACTCCCAGTGCTTCTGAGTAATAAGTAACTCGGAGTGCTCCTCAGAATTTTTAGTATGCCAGTCATCTTCCATACGCAAGCTAGAAAATCACAGGCTATTTTTAGGGTATATAAACCATTTAGATTCCTTTGCAGTATGCCATTTTCTAAAGTACTTGTTCCATGTTTGACAGAATATGGCAGAAAAATTTCTCGATGGTGAAATACCACTGGATTCCTTCATTGATGAGTACCAGAGCAAGCGTAAACTGGCTCACCTGCGACGTGTAAAAATTGAGAAGCTCCAAGAAATGGTGCTCAAGGGACAGAGACTTCCGCAGGTTCAGCCACAGGCTCAGCCCAGAGCACCCGAGACAACACCAGCACCTCAAGATTCCTACACTTCGGATGCAAACACTCCTTCAGTCGTGCCCCGACGAATACCACCCCCTCCACCTTCTGCAGTCCCAGCAGGACGCTTTCCTACTCCGTTTACTGCAGCCATGAGTTCAGGACCAGCTCTTTCTTATCCAGGTGCTCCGTATCCTCCTCTCCCACCTCGACCAGGAGTTCAGCCTGCAAGTCAAATGCCACAGCCGGGATATCCATCTCAGTTTGTACCACAGTATCCTCCAGCTCTTCCCCAAAGACCACCTCGCCTTCCACCACATCCTGGCTTTATCCTCCAGTGAATATTTTGGTGCGCCTAACTTATGTATTGGTGCTTATATCTCCTTTTTCTCCCCATCAGAGACTTCATGTAAGCAATGAAAAACCTCTGTTCTTTGCACAATGGAGTACAAGATTTGAGCTGTGGCACAGAGGTTTGCAATTGCGTTTGGTAAATGTGATTATTTTTGTTTTTAAAGATCAGTTTGACAACGAGGTTTGTCTGGGAAGGTGAAAGGGTGTGAAGTTTGTGAATCCATCCAATAGTGAAAGGGTGCGCGGTGGATTTCCTGATGTTACAAATGGAATCACGCTCTGAATTCTTTAGAGATGGGAAATCAGCATCCCCTTCTGATGGATTCCCATCACAGCTGGATGTATGTGTTGCAAACTGGGAGCTGTTCGTCTCTCTAAAGAATTATTGATCAGTGCTGGTGTCTGGATAGTAACAACCACATCTGAATACTGGGCAGAGCTGCAGTGGACCGCATCAGCTTCCTTTGCAGTGTGCCCAGGCAGTGGCATTTGTGGCCAGGTACACGTTTTCAGAGCTCGCTGAGCTGAAACTCTTGTCAGAAACGTTGCATGGTTTTTAGGCAGTACAAGAGTTTCATTTCTACATTTCAGTTGTTACCTGAGACTTTTCATAACAGAAGTACCCACTCCTCCCACTCCTAAATAGCTTGATATCCTGGTCTCTTGAAATTAAACTAAACTGGTTGTAGAGCCAGTTTAGGGTTTTATAGAAACTTTACCAGGCATTTTTATTCCCTTGCCTATTGAAATTCTCTTTTTTATGTTGATTTTTTTCCTTCTCCACACGTTGAATTCAGAAGTGATTTTTTTACACAGGTGCTTAGCTTTTGATATCATGTGATTCCAGGAATCCAGGCAGGGTATTTCTTAATCAAATACTGTGTTTTCATATCAGGTAATTGCCCACTTGAAGCTCCAGAGTTTCATTCTATCCCTCAATCTCTCATTTGGCAGAACTATTTTTAACTTACCCATTTCCTCTAGTTTTGCAGTCATTGGCATGCCCATCTATCTGGAATTTACGATTAATGTTTCTCTGCAAGCAGGCAGAACAGAGAAGCTTTTTGAACTCCATGGTGGCTGTTTGCATCTTACATAACCTATTATTGACTTCTGCCACTGGAGGAAGAAGTTTTTCAGGGGAGCTCAGATTTCACTCTCAATGTGACTTGAAACCCAAGGTACAGACATGCGCTGGTGTTTTAATCGAGCATTGCTGGGGGGGGGGGGCAGGTCTTAACACTTGTTGCTTGCACAGAATGTATCCCTAAGTCTGTTACCAGTCAGTCCAGAATCTGTCATAGCCCCTGTATTACTTTAAACCACTTTCATACCATTCTGTTGGAACGCACTTCGTTTTTGGCAGTCTGTCCTACAAACAGCATCAGTCAAAATAGAAGATCTCTTCTTTTTCCTTTACGTAAGGCCCTTGATTGTCCTTTAATCATTTCCTCTGGAGTGTGGCGGTTGCTAGCAAATACTAATCTGAAATGAAGCTCATAACAGGAAACTCTCTATTCTGAAAATATGGTTATTTGGCGTGTTTTGCCTTCTGAGCACAAAGGGCAGAAGGTTGGTCAGCGTTCCTGGCATCTGAACCAATTCCCCAGTGCAAGCCTGGAAACCTTCCGTAGATGGGGAATTTTGTGAAGCAACGTGCATTGGATTTGTTTGCAAAGTGTGTTTTTTCTGTATTCTAGTGATGGTACAGGATGTGTTTTTTTAAAACCTAGTGTAATAGCTTTTCTTGGTATTATTTTCTCACTGAAGCTTCGTATCAGCATGGTTAATTATGACTCGTTTCAAAGTAATTTTGCTGTGCTATTAGTGCTGGTATTTGGATGGCAACTGTTGTATCTGGATGCTAAACATAAGTCTGCTGTAGAAATGATTCGTGTCCTAGCAAGAATTAAAGCAGCTGGGGGCTACCAGGATGATGACAGAGTGCAGAAACCCGTACTTTGAGCCTGCTACACAACAACTAAAACACTCTCACATCAGTTTTGCTAACACTTAATAAAACCAACCGGGTATATTTTATACACTTATCAAGTGCCAACTTTTTTCCCGAGGGCTGAACATCCTCAGAGTGATGGAGGTGATAGATAAGTGTATTGTGAATTTGCACTGCATTTTCTGTACCTAACTTTATTGGTATTAGTAGTCCAGAAATATTTTTACTACTTGTTAAATTTTCTCTCCTTTTGGTACCTTTTGTGATAACGTGACCTTTCAGGGATACTTTATCTAGAAACAAACTCTTGTGCAAGCGAAATACAGACAAAGCTAATGCAATTTTTCTGTCTGAAAGCAAAACAATGCATTATTGCATATGCATGTGGCTAATGTGCCTTAGGATCACTACCTGTGATTGTAATACTAGGATAATAGCATTTTTATCGTTTGAATGGCCATTGCTTAACTAATTCAAGGGCTCTTCAGGAGCACTTTGTTTTACAGAAAACTCACCCTCATACTTCAGAAGAAACAAAGGCTGTATCTGCTATTTGTAAGCTTATAGTTGCCTTCACCGATGGGTAAGTTTGAACATAGATAATGTACCTAATGTGATGTTTCAGTTATAGCAACCTCATAACTGAAATCCAGCTGCTCATGGAAAACGTTTTGCCATTAATTGTGTGTGTGTGTGCGCACAAACTGTAAAGAAATACTTGACTGCTGGTAATGTTTAAGGATAAAGGAGAAGGATGACTGTGGAAAGCTGTTAAAATCCTATCTACAAAACACTAACCTGGAGGAGTCGGGCAAGACAAGTGTCAGTGCTTTCAACCTGTTGCCCTTAAACAGCTTCTCCTGTTCTGTTACAGCTTATAAATAAATTCTGCTATGGCTAGGATGTTAGAATCATACTAATTTGCACTGTTTATAAGATAGATTAAAATGCCATAGGCAAGCTGAGACTTGAGAGGGGGTGGCTCAGTATGCTTGCCAAATATATATATATATATTATAATGTTGTCTTGAGGATTTTTAATGTCTGCTGCAAATAGCATATACTTCCCCAAAGCAATTGGAGCAGAGAAGAACCTTCTAAATACAATGTGTAACACGGCTGTAGAGTGTTGGTAGTGTTGAAAATGCTCTCTTTGGATGGCATTACTTTTGCCAGTCTTTTGTATGCAGTTTTGTAAGTTATGACTAATTCAGTTGTATGTGGTTAAGTTGTTTGATTGATGATGAGCATTGAAGGGTGCTAACTCAAGGATGAGTTCTGCTGCGCTTCAGTGCTGTCGCCTAGAGGAAGCGGAGTCAGTTGTTGTGGCACAGCTGATCCACACAGGTCACCTTTGTACCTGTGACCATGGAGAGACTATTTAGGATATAAGCTTTCATGTGATGCCAGGAGGCAGAGCCCTGGGCACAGTCCAGTCATGGGTAACCATTATGTTTAGTGCCCCAACTCCCACAACCTCAGTCTCGACCTCTTTTGGGACTTCTCTGCCCTCTCAAACTGGAATAATGACTTACAGAGCTCAAATCAACAATTCTGTTAGCCTGAATATAGAGCTACTTCACAAACATCGAGTTTGGAGGAGGTAGAGTCGTCCTGCACCTGAACAGTTCCTCTGTGTAATCCTGGACAGTCTATTCATAAAGGGGCAATTTTATATGCCTAGCAAGTTGTGAAACATACAGTGGATTTGTTTGCATAAGAAGTCTTTCTGTAATCTACTGTGGTCTGATTTTAAATAAAATAGCATATCTCTCTTGGTGTCGTGTTCCCATTGTGGCTTCATTTAATTACAGTTATGTTAATGTTTTCCAATACTTAATAATGCTTCTCACGAGATGGTCTAAAACCAGTTGTAGTTTGAATGTAGGACACAAGTGTGCAAGAAAATAGCTTTAGTTATTCATAGTAAGTCTTTGGCCATCTTTTTTGTGGCTGGATATAGTGAGTCCATTTAGTATGTCACTGATGCCAGCTGTGTTCAGAGTGGGTTCTGCACATCGTAATCGTGGCAGTGAGGTAGGTGGATTGTCTTATGCAGGTAGAATCCCTTTGCTTTTGTTTTCGTTTCCTACAATTGGCAATAGTGGAAGTGTTCAGAATCTGCGCTTGGAAAGCCAAAGGAACGGGGGAAGCCACTTTGTTTGTTAAAAGAGGAAGAACTGAGATTCCAGCCAAGTCAGGAGAAATGAGTCAACCAGTGTTATTTAGGAACATGAGTCAGAGGGCAGAAAAGACCTGATATAATTTTCTGTGTTATCTGTTGCGTTAGCAGCAACATAAAAAAGAAGTCCTACTGCAGAAAACCTGGTAATATATGGAGGAAAACCCTTTTTTTAACTGTCTTGATGTGTTCTTTTGTGGTGGCTACAGAGCTCTGGTACCCTTCTGCTGATGCAGAGATGGGAAAGTACAGCTGAGGAGAACTTGCTGTGCTGACTCAGTGCAGGTGGGCGAGGGAAGGAGATGCTGTTATGTAAAAGTGCAGTTCTTCAGCTCGGCTCTCCTGACACTTCGCAGCAACGCCCGTGTTTTGCAGCTTGAAGAAGGGACCTGCCAAACTTCAACACGTTCCCATCCTGGGATTCGGGTGCCACTTCCCTGTGGCTCCTGTGCACCAGGAGATGGTTCTGGGTGGGATTGTTCCCTGTGCAAAGGAGAGGTAACCCTGGATGGTCAGGCCTCATGTGTTAGTTGTGTAATGGGTAACCAAAATCAAAGTAACACAGAAGAGGCCTTGACTTGTCCCTTCCCTTTGGAAGCGGCTTCAGAGGCCATGCAAGCCTAAACAGATCCTGTAATCCGAGTCCTCCTTGGTTCTGTATTGATCAACCCTCATACAAGTCTTCTGCAGGTACGACTGTTCATCCTCCCGAGCCTGTCACTAGAACCAAGATGTGCTGCTCTGAGCTCTTTTGAGAGATTCTGTCCCAAGTTTCAGAGAAGCCTGGGACCGTGGTGCTGCGGTTGACATCTCATCCCTGGGCAGCCTCTGGTGGGCTCTCAACCTCATTTGAACTCCAATCTCTCTTTTTCCCCCTACCTGCAGGACAAATAGCAGCTGAGGCTGGAAGTCGTAGGATGTGCTTTGACCATGCATAATGCCATAAGCTAAAACCTATTCAATACCATTATTTCTATTATTTTAGTACTATTAGTACTATTATTTTAGTACTACTATCACTATTATCACACATTATTTGGTACTATTATTTTAGTACTATTTTAGTACTATTAGTACTAAATGCATTTATTTCCTTCAACCTGTTCAAGACTGCTTTTTCTGCACTCTTGTAGGTGATGATGTAGTAATTACTTTTTCCTTCACAGCTAAAAATGCTTCCTCTCACCACAGAAGCTCATTCCACACCTTGCTACGTGCACTTAAAGCTGCACATTATTCTAGCAAGCACTGCTCAAATGGGCTGATTTCTGGGATTCATTAGTGTTGAAAGAGGCCTTCCACATCCTGTAGAGGAAAGGGGTGCAGTTCTCAGCACTGGAGTAATAGCACCTTAGTGGGAAGATAATATGATTGTGGAGGATCATATAATCCCCATAAATAAATAAGGATATACATATATACAATATATACATATATACAATAAATAAGGTGTGTGTTAGTTAACTCACACTGCCAGCCATGGTAGATGGTTTGTAAGGGAGATGATACATAACATCATTGTATTTTTCTAGTTTGAAACATGCTGTTCATGGCTTGAATTAAGGGCTCTTAACATACTTTTACAGCAGCTTTTTAACCTGACTTCCCAGAGCATGTAATGGCTATTTGCTGTTCCTGCGCTTGATTTCAATGGCCTTGTTTTCCCCCAGTGATCTAAGAGACACTTGTGTTTTGTAAACGCTGCTCTATAGCAATGCTGTTGCTGAACTGGAGCCACTTCGCATTCAAACTCATTTGTGGCTACTGGAGATGTGGCTGAGGAGCCAAAGGGTGGAGAGAGGAGGGCTTTGATACCACACTGCTTGAAAGCTGCTTCTGGAGGACCAAATGAACTGGACGAACCTCGGTGGAAGGGAGCCAAGAGTGGGATCTTGCAACATGTGCTTGGTTATTTTCCACTGCTGGTGTTGCAGGAGCTGAGGAAAACTTGTCAGTAGCACATCAAGTTAAACACCTAATGGTATTTAAAAGCCATTAGCAAATTGGATGCTGTAGAGCAGGATGTCTTGATGGGGTCTCAAAATAAACCTGTGCATATGCGTTACTGCAGTTGTGATTTAGTTTTGCTGTCTGCTACAGATAGCAACTACGTCCCAGAAAGTATAAGGAGTTAAGACAATCACAGACTGGACAGTAAGCTTGATTTTGCTATAACAATTACTTCAGCACTTCAAGTGGCCTTTGGAGCTGCTTCTTACTGATACTGTTGGAGACTGTACCTTCTGACCTGGGTTGTTTTACCTGCAGCCTCTGTTAAGTGTCCATTTCGGTAAATCGCAGTGAAAGAGCAGTGCTGTTTGTTAAACAAGTTACATTTACCCATAGCATCATTCTTAAGGCCACGTTTTACTGGAGCTCTTTAACTATAGCTGTGGCTGGACCGAGGGCAATGAGATTGTGAAAGTTCACGTTCTTGATTCATCATCTTTCCATTATGAAATGTGGTGATGAGAGGGGTTAGAATGACGTCAGTCTCCCAGCAAATACGTCTTCATCACCGTCTAGAAATAGCTGACGAGCTACTGTGGGAAGCACTGCTTTGTACAGAGAGAAAAGGTTTCTGAATGAAAGGAAACTCAAACTGGAGCACAACTGTGGCCACCTGCATCTCGGGAGCCGTCGTCACTCGATGTGACAGCAGTCATCCGAAGAGCACTGCTGGGTACCCCTTTTCCCAGTTCTCTGTTAGTACTGCAGGAAGCTCTCCGTAGCTTCATGGAAAGACATCAGGATGCAAAGCTTCAGGCTGGGGATGATGCCGATGTAGTCTGCAGCACTCAATCAGCTGTTCGCCTTACCCAGTAAGAGCAGTATTAACACCAAAGCCTTTTCATGTGGGATGCACTTTATACGTACGATTGGTTGAGAAAGGAGACTTCTAAGCTGCCTGTAGTTGTTGCTCATAAAACCGTAAAGGTCTGGCTTGTGACATGTAATCCTGTAAAGCTTAGGTAGCATGAGACTGCTTTGTCACTAAAATAAATAACAAATGCCTTATAAATGTGTTGTCTTGAGATACAGCAATTAAAATTCCAGGTAACTGCTTTACAGCCTGCTGTTAATCACAGCAATGAAAAATCATGGGGGTTTTTTATTGTGGCTTGTATGCAATTTGATTGTAATTGTTATAGGGGGGTCGCAAGGATGAAAATGTCGATGTTAGACCCTTATAACTCTCCTTTTAAACATAAGGCCGCTGCATTCACCCTGTCATGGGCCTTCTTGCTGAGCTCCAGCTGCTCCAGACCTACCCTTTCATGGGTGCACCCAGCAGCGCAGTGACACAGCCCTGCAAACACTCCCAGTTCCTCCCAGAACAAACACAATCCCCAGTCCTTGCAGGTGCGTGCCCGTGGTCCCGATGCGCAGCAGTGAGGTTGCAGGTAAGGGCTGATCCTGCACCCACGCTGCTGCAGCTGCTTCGTAGTTATTTAATGACTTACCTTCAGTGAGGCTGACATGAAAGCCATGGAATTAAGGTGCTGCTGCTGTAGCCGGGGAGCTGCTCACTCTGGGCTGTATGGATGGATACACCTGCACACAGACCTATGTGCTGTATACGTGTGTATATGCTCAGACCTATATGCTCAAATACATGTGTGTATCTATCCATCTATAAATATGCAAACATACATAAATATATATAGACACACACAGAGCCATACAAGCCACACATACAGAATACGACTCTATATAAAGATGTATTTATGCAGATGTATACATCCATATATACACACACACACACAGATGCACCTACCTCTGTGCTTTAGCTAATTACTTTAAGGCACTATTGCCTTTTGCTCCCCAGTGTTCAGGGCCAGCTTGCTTCAAGCAGCAGAGCCCCACGCCATAGCCCTGGCATCGCTCCCCTCCCCACCAACAAGCTGACCAGGCACCACAGCATCTACTTTAAATATTGCTTCTTTAATAATCTCTATCATGGTAGTAGCTCCAAGGGAAGATAGAGCTGACAGGACCTTTTCTTCTGCCCTCTCCCCCCAAAACCCCAGCATCTCCCCCCATCAGTAATTCCTTATTGCTGCAGACTCCTCCATCCATCCCCTGGCTCCCATTGGCCACGGCTGGATTTAATTCTGCTACATCTCTTCCATATAAAACAGAACGCAACTGATCCCGACAGTGCTGCGGTGCTAAAAAATAGGACAGGACAACACAATGGTTGCATCCTTATTGCCAGTGTGTGCCGGGAGCTGCTTTTTCCCTTTACAAAAGCCCTGCTCCGTGTGCCGGTTCAGGCTAACGCCTCCCTCGGCATGGAGGGGCCGATCCCACGCCGAAACGAAGCCCCGTTATTCCTCAGGCTGGGAAAGGGGGATTAAAAAACGGCTGAAGGAAAAGCCCAAGTTTCCTACTTTAAAAACAGCTCTTGGAAAGGGTCCGAGCAGTACAGTAGAGAGCTACAGGTACTTCTAGTGCTGATTGACAGAGTCCTTACAAAAGAATATAACCCAAACGAACCCCACATTAAATTAACCTGGAGGAGGAGGAGAGGGCTGGGGGAGCCCCCCATTCCCCCCCCCCAGTAGATAAAAATCAAGTGAAGAAAAATACAAATAAAAATAAAGAATTCCTTAGAAAACTCCAGTTTTGCGGGCGGGAGGAGGGCCCGGCGCAGGAAGGCACACGAGCGCGAAGGCAGCGTGAGCTGGTGGATGGGTACCAGCCAGCCCCTGTTAGATGTGAGGTGGGTACGAGCCGGCGTCTCGCTGGGGCTGAAATGAGAAGAGGGGAGACACGGAAATACCAGTCCCTGGTGCTGTGAACACCCTCCCCAGTGTGTGTTTACCCCCCTCCAGGACCTACCTCCCCGTGTCCGGGTTTCTGAGCCAAGGGGGGCTTCTTGAGGATGCCTCTCCTAGGGGCTGGTGCTGGCTTTGCCTCCCCGTCCTCTTCCGTGTTGTAGGTCCCGGCCAGGGCATAGTGCTGCTTCCTCAGCTCGCCCAGGCGCACCCGCTCGCCCTCCAGGCGCTTCTCCAGCTCCAGCACCTTCACCTGCAGTCAAAGAGCAGCCCTGGGTCCTGAGCATCCCAGAGGCGTGATCCCCGCCAGCAGCAGGACCATGATGAAGGTGGTAAGGAAGGGACCCCCCCAGTGTGCAGGCCCAGATCAGGACCTGAGGCTGGCAGCACCAAATCCACCTTCACGTCTGTACCTGTGTTTCCATCTCTTCCTTCTTCAGCTTGATGAGCGACATGCCCGAGAAGTCCATGGTGTCTGTGGAGAGAAGCAAGGGTCCTTACTGAGCACACCCTCCTCATATCCCACTGCACCACTGGCTGAACACAGCCAGAAAGGGATTTGGGGGGGGTTTCTCCCCTTTCCTTGCAAAACCCTCACCTTTCTCCTCAACCTGCTCTTGCCCTGACTTGGTGGAAGCCACCACATTGGCCGCCATCTCATTGACGTTGCGTGAGCACTCCTGCAGCTTGCCCAGGTTCCTGCTGCTCTTCTCAGCTTTTACCTGCAAAGAGCAGAGACCACGTCAGGATGGAGCTCAGATGTGACAGCCTGGGGGTGGAACGGGTGGACAGACAGATGGACACCTGCTTATCCTTGCTGATCCCATCATGGCCAAGCAACATGACCCCTGCGAGCCCTGGGGCACCAACCAGCTCTGCTCCCATGGGAGCGCACACGGATAAGCAGCATCAGTGAAGGCAGAGCTATTCTTCTTTTAACCATGCTCTTAATTTTAAAGCCATCTGCTGTAAAACCCCATGTGGGTCCTCCTCCCCCAACCTGCCTCCCTGTTTGCTCATGGAAACCTCTACCCATCACCACCTTTCCTGTTGGTGTGGGTTCCAATCTCTAACATACTGTGATACTGTGACCAAACTAACTCCATCATTGTTAATGCTGGCTCCCGCAGGTGCTTAGTTGGGGTTTCTCATTAATAATTAACATCTTCTCTACATAAGCAGCTTGAGAGGAGGTTTTACACATCTCCATTTCCAAGGCAAGGTGTGGGAATATTAATGCAGATGAAAGCATGGATTAAAATCACAGACTGACTTTGAAATAGGAAGAGCTTCCCTTCCTCCCTGCTCTGGAAGGAGGCTGCAGGACCAATGGATAACAAACCACTGCCTGAGAGCATCCATGGGACAACACTGTGGGAGCAAAACGCCTTCAGGCTCGGGGAGCTGCATGCAGGGACGTTGTTGGGATGCTCACCTTGGAGGCAGCTACGAGCTGGGCTGTGCTGGCAGCGATTTCATGGGAGCAGACGATGAGCTCTTCGTACTTGCCCATGTGCAGGACAACTCTGTCTGCTGACTCCCTGTGGTATGGGTCAGAAGGGACATTGCGTTAGATCCTCACCATGCACTACAAACCAGGTGCAGATTATTTAGCTCCTGCTCTATCCTTAGAAACCAAGAGCCCGAACCAGCAGCTTTGCCTGTAATTATTTAAAGCTCATTTACAAAGCAGTTACTCAAAGCCCAAATGCAGATGCTTTGGATAGGTAAAAAACACCAGCAGAGGCAGGAACGTGTGTCCATAATGACGTGGGTGATGTTTCTAAAGGTTTATCCCAAACCAGCCCCACTGGCCCAGGGATACCCTGCACCAATCCCAACCTCCCCATCCACAACCATCCGAGCAGGAGCTTGCACATGGAGCATTTGATTTGAAGCAACTTTGCAAGCAGGAACTGGCGGCCCCTATTTCACTGACCCGGGATGCTCTGTAAGGCATTACCAGTAACACTCTGTGCAGACTCAGCTGCATGGCACAGTTTGGGTTACTGGGTGATGGAGAAGCAGGGGCCAGCCCCAGGCACAGCCATAGGAGAGGTCCCCGGGTACCTACACGAGCTGCGTGGCTCCCCATCCCACCGCCTTGGAGGCAGAGATCAGCCCTTCGGTCCAGCGAGAGTTCTTGGCATAGAACTCCTGAGTTGTTGCTGCCCCCTGTTGTTAGGAGAACATTATGGCCTGGATTAACTTGGTTCTTACACACAACAACATCTAGATCATTAAATCCATACAAAATATCCGTATAATACATGACAATATAGAAATTCATCTATAAAGCCATAAAGCAAGGGACTGGCAGCATTTCTGCGCCCTTCAGGTGATACTTGACAGCCTGGTTAAATACGTATCAATAAAACAAGTATTAGAGCTGCAAGCCTGGGTTTAAAACACACAGATTTAGGTCATTGCCTTTAGACAAACAAGGCTTTGCAAAGGTGACAGTGATGTGTGCAGAGAGCACGGCGCTGAGCAGCCCATCTCCAGAGAGACTCACCCGGCCACTTTCTACTATCTCCTTCTGGAGGTTCGTAGATGTCATTACAAGCAGTCTAATGGCCTGGAATGGAGAGAAAGAGGGTCTGATGTTTGACAGGGATTGGATTGATGCTGCTGCCAGTGGGGGCAAGTTACAGTTCTGCTCTGATGCCCCAGCTCAGTTTGTGCAGTACTCACCTTCATGAGGTCCGTGCAGGAGTTCAGAATCCTGTAGGGAAACAAGAGGAAGCATTCAGTATCCTCCAGTGCTGTGTCCCAGTTATAAAACGGGTCTACTCTGGAGACCAGCCAGCCTGCAGATTACTTCCAAGCAGCCCCCAAAGCAGCGGTGAACAATGGGCTTACACATGCAAGACCAAGGTCCACCCTTCTAAAGAGGATGTTGTGCCCAGCATCAGGACGATGCAGGACTGGGTTGCAAATGGGGCTTTGGAGCAGAGCACGACCCAGGAGGGTATGGGCATGGACAGAACCCTCCCATGGCTGCCACGTGCCACCCCTCAACACTCACCGCTCATTCACTTCAAGCTTAACACCAGAGCTCTCGTTTCTGGCCTGGCTCATCATCTCCTGGTGGGAAACACAAGAGGGACATTGGATGCTGCATTGCAGGGTGGAGGAGAGATGGAAGCTTTGCTGCCCCAAGGCACCAAAACGGTCCACCCTGCAGCTCCGTCTCACCTCTATCCTCCTGACAGCATCCTCAATCGCCTTGGAGGTGGAGGCCATCTCCTTCTCAACCATGTCCCCCAGCTCTTCTTGCTTGATGTCCAAGCTCTTGGGCCTCAGCTCCTGCCGAAGGAGGCAGAAGTCACCAAAAGGTTTTAGGCAGAGAAGGAAATATTTGTGAGGAATAACACCAAAGCAAGGCACCCAACTCCTTTTTTTCCCCTTAAATAAATAAAGGTGCAGGAGCAGCATCCTGCACATCACAAGGGGGAAGGTGCATGTGCAGCAAACACGGCACAGGGTAAGAAATGCCCCAAATCAAGGTGACCAAACTCAACCACAGGAGCAGTTTTGACAGGGCAGAGCTCCAGAGGGCTTCAGAGAGCTACGAGCCTTTGAATTAACAGTGGTTCAATGGAAAAGACAGATGGATAACCTGTGGGTATGTGGCACAAACCACGCCAAAGAGCTCACTGCAACCCAGCATCCCTGGACTACTTCAGAGATTTCAGCTCTGGACTATGGGAAGTGCCATAAAAGCCATGGGTTTGGGCATCTTTCTTTAAAAAGAAGCTGTCCATCAAGGTGCAGCCTGAGCAAACTCCCACCTCGACAAACAGAGGCACCATCCTTCTGCATTAACTGCCTGCTTTGACTTCCCTTTGGGAAACACCCATGCCAGAGATCCCACCCTGCCAGCCCCGATGGGTGCAATGGGCTCCATCTCCTACCTGGGCCAGGTGCAGGACCCCTCGCAGCGCCCGCCGCACGTCTCCCAGCTCAGCACATCCCAGGGTCTGCTTGTCCCTCAGCTTGCCCAGGTAATCCAGGCTCTGCTGCCCACAGTCCCGGCACGTCTCCATCAGCCCTGCGGAGAGGATGGGTTGGTAACAGGTCCCTCAATGGACAACGGGTCCCTCCATCCCATGCCCACCACCCTCATCTTCCTCCTCCCCTCAGTTATGGAGATGGTGCCACGCATCCACAGCATCCAGTTTATTGCAGAAGAGGATAAATCCGTTTCCATGAGCAAAGTAACAACCCTGGCCCAGGAAGGGGCACCAGAACACAGGGAATGTTGGGGAGATAGGACCATGCTGCCCTCAGGGAAGACTTGCCCTTTAACCAGCCCCTACCACAGGATGCTTTGGCACGGCAGCCCCCCAAAACACTCCACGAGCAGAAAGAACCCCCAATATGAGGCATCCATGCACAGCACTCACGGTCAGCATGGTCAGTGGGAGCCAGATGGGACGTGGCACTGCCATTCACAATGGTGTCGGCCGTCAAGTGTGCAAAGAGGGCCAGAGCCCCCACCAGCCCCGCAGCATCTGATGGTGAGAGGATGTGCTCAGGTGCTGCCAGCCCAGGGCACTGCTTGCCGTGTCCTGGGGGCTTCAACCTGCCCTTGAACACACTCAAGGGTCAATACAAGAGCTTGGAGAGGTTGGTATTGACCCCGTCAGCTTGCAGGCTGTTCCTTGAGCGAGCACATAGAAACCCACCCGCTCCATCCCTCCATCACCAGGGCACTGCACGTTTGCCGATGGCCCCAAAGGATGTATAATAATAACCACAGGATGTATAATAATAACCAAAGGATGTATAATAATAACCAAAGGATGTATAATAATAACCACAGGATGTATAATAACAGAAGCAAGGTGCAAGCGATGCCTCCGGTCCCCAGCCCCAGGTACCTGCCATGGAGGCCACGTACTGCGCGTGCCCGTTCTCCAGGGCATCCGTGGACTCCAGCGCTGCCTGCGCCCGGCTCAGCAGGTAATCTGCAATGAGTTTAGCTTCGTTAGTGTCTGAATGAGCACGAGTGCTGACTCCATGGGGCACCATTGAGTGGAAGCCAAGACAGCTCAGGTCCCTGTGGCCCTGGCTTGGGAGCAGCGCTAAAATCTGAGCAAAACAGCGCTGAGATTAGAGCTAAAAGTTCATTCCTGGGAAATCTGAGCCCAGTCTCCTTGGGTGTAGTATTTGGTAGGGGAAAAAAGGGCCTGGGGGAAGCTGAGGCAATGCTGTCTGGGTTGCAGGCCCCATGGTCAAGTGGGATGTACCTGGGGAGCTGGTGCAGCGGATGTGCAGTGGATCATCCAGCTTGGCCACAGCGTCCCGGAGGATGTCCTCTGCCTCCCGCACCGTCTGCTGCAGGATGATGAACTGCTCGTCCAGCAGCTTCTGCTGCAGGCTCTGCTCCTGGTTGCTCTGTGGGGTGTGAGGAACAAGCAAGTTGCACAGCTGGGACACAGGACCCCTATCACCATCGCCTCACCACCATCACATCCCTCGAGAGCATCTTCGCAGGATTAGACCTGAGCATCCCATTATTGCTGCTGCAAGTCACATCCCACTGGCTACACCAGCGATGGCTCATCCCATTGCTCAAGGGATGCTCAAAGCACCCCCAAGGACATCTCACTCCATACCTTCTCCAGGAGCCTGCCCTGCAGCTCTCGTATCTCCCTTGAGGTCTTGTCCGCCTCCTGGCTCAGCTGCAGCTCCTTCTCCTCAATGAGGCCACGTGTGGAGAGCAGCTCATGCTCCTTCTCACTCACCGACCGCCTCAGCACCTCTTTCTCGGCGTGCAGGGCCTCCACCTGAGCACTGAGCTCTGTGCCTGCCTGCCAGCGGGACCAGGAGACCCCCGTCACTCCCCTGTCACCATGGCGTGAGCCCAACAACTACACAGGGTGGAGAGCTGAGGACATGCCCAGCTCCTGACCCTGATGGGACGGACCCACATTCAGCCCCAGTGACACTGCCTTGAGCTGCTGGGTGCTGTGTGATGGGTTTCGGGGCACATCCTGCACCCCAGCCCCGTACCTGCTTGGCGTGGCTGAGCGAGCGCTGCGCCTGCTCCAGCTCTTCCCGCCGGGCATCCAGCTCCTGCCGCAGCTGCTCCATCTGCAGGCTCTGGTCCTCCAGCTGCAACCGCACACCCATGGAGCTGCAGGCGCGCTCCAGCCCCGCTTGGCACCGGCACGCAGCCAGCACCGTGGGGGGAATCCGGGTGTGTTTTGTGGGAGGGGTTTTCAGGGTATTCGGGGGGTTCCTCCTTTCCCCAGGGCAGGAATTTTGGGAGCAGCCCTCAGCGAACGAAAGCACCCAAACCCATTAATTTGCATCGTGGCTTTTTCTTGGGGGAAGAAAAGGCAGATTCGGGCAAGAGGGAGTGCAGCATGCATTGAGTAACACCTTCCCGAGGAGCCAGGGCAACTCCTTCTGGGATCAGGGACCAACACCAACCACCACCTCTACCCCTTGCACCCAAACTGTGTTTCCCAGGCTGGGAAGGGCCCCATGGCAGGGAAGGATGCAGGGCTCTGCTGGCTCACCTTCATCTCTGCCTCTCGCTTGACCTGCTCCACCTGGAAGGCCAACTGCTCCTTGACACGTGCCACCTCCTCCTGGCTCTGCTGCGTGACTGTCAGCTGCTTGGCAGTGTCAGCATTCTGCATGGGGACATGGGGCTTACTGAGCACCAGAGCGGGGATCCCACCACAGCCACGCTCGCTCCCATCTAATTCTGGCTCAGGGGACACCTCCAAGATGCCTTTCTCACGGCACCCGAGATGCTGACTGCTTGTGACCGTGAATTCAAGGGGTGTCTCCCACCCAGTGCTCAGAGGTCCCTGGATGCAGGATGATTGCACCAACACGGGATAGGGCTGGGCGGAGGGGTGAAGGCAGCAGTCAGTCCCTGCGAGGCACCAGCAGCAGCGTTACCTTCCTGAGGAGCTCAGCGTGTGTGTTGATGAGCTCGCTGTGCTTCTCCTTCAGCTTCGTGTAGCGGATCTCGGTGGCGGTGGCTTTCTCTGAACAGGGCGAGAAAGCATCAGCGCCGGTGCCGAGGACACCCCGCGGCCCACGGGTGCTGCAGGGCACCTACTTTCTGCCTCGGCGCAGAGCCGCTGGGACCTGTCGCTGTCCTGCTTCACCCTCTGCAGCCTCTCCAGCTCATCCCGCAGCTGCTCGTTGTCCACCAGCGCCTTCTGCTTCTGCTTGCGCTGCTCCTCCACTTCTCCCTCCAGGCTGTTGACCTGTGCCTTGAGCTGTGTGATGTACCGCTGCGCCTGCAGGGCACCCCCAGCGCTCGGCTTGGGCACCGCAGCCACAACCAGCCCTCCCCAGCATCCCCAGCCCAGTGCCTGGCTGTGATTTGGGCAAAGCTGCTGTGAGATGCATGGGAAAGCCCTGCCCTCCTGCTCCAACCCCGCTGCTAACAGACAGCACGGGACAGGGCTCACATGCCTCCATCCCATTCCAACAGGAGCTCGGTTCTGGCACTGGGAGAGGCCTAAAACACAGCGCTGGGTGTGAGGACGCTGCTCCTGCTGCATCCCATTGGGGTTTCAACACTACAGCACCCAAAAGCACCCCGCTCTCCCGCACTGGCTGCTCCCTAACAGGGCTTTACCTCCAGTTTAATCTTCTCCATCTCTGCACGGAGCACATCCACCTCCTTCTTCAGGCTCTCGATCTGTGCATCCCTGCAGGGAAAAGGCAGGTTGGTCTCATGTGGCAGTGGCCACCCCACCGGCATCACCACTGGACCCCCCATACCTGTCATCCCGAATGCCATTGGGAGGCCCAAAGGTTTGGTCAAATAGATCTGAGGTGACCTGGAGAAGACGGAGGGTGCTGAGCTGAGCCGGGCTGCGGGTGCCTGCATCCTCCCATCCCAGGGTCCCCATCCCCGGGTCCCCACCTGTGGCTCCACGGTGGAAGCTGTGCTTATCTCAATGAGGTTCTCCGGCTCCTCATCCTCGGGGGCTTCCTCAGGGATGACAACCACAGGCTTCACGTGCTCGGCCAGCGCGGACGCCCGCAGGAAGTTCGGGGGGCTCTATGGGGACGAGATGCTGTGATGGCATCACCTGGGGTTTCGGGAACCACTGCAGCAGCGTAGCAAGAGAAGGGAGGCAGCCATCCCTGTGTTGCTGTGTCCTCAGGCACTGAACCCATCCATGGGGACACCCTGATCCCACAAGCTCTCCAAAGCATCACACGCAAGCACCGCATGGAAACCCCGCTGTACCTCTGGCAGCCGCGGGATCTGGATGAGCCGCTTGAAATACAGCATGTCCGATGCCTTCTTGAAGAAGTTTTTGAGGCTGGGGAGGGGGGAAAGAAGAACTGTTTGTAGAGGAGGTGTGGGGGGAATGGCAGCAAGGAGGGGACCCCAGCGTCGCACCCAGCCATGGGTTACCTGCGAAACTGCTCATGGAAGCGGTCTCGGTGGCCTTGCAGCGTGTCGGCCGGCAGACCTGCAGGGATGGGGGGGACAGAGATGGCTGATCCAGGGCTGCAATTCATTCACATGCAGCTGGATCCCTCTGGCTGCCATAGCCAGCAGGTTAATGCCAGGTGGGAATGGGATGTGAGGGATCAGGAATGGAGTAGGGTGTCCCCATCCTTGGCATAGGGACCAGGGAGATGGCTGTGGAAACCCCAAAATACTCCTGTGAGGCCCCTTGCACCGGGCTGCCCAGCAATTCCATGGCTGGCAGGCCAAGGCTCATCAGTTTGTATTAATCAAGAACAAGCCTTTCTAATTCCTTCATTTGGGATGTCTATATGGGATGAAGCAGGGCCTCAGGGCCTGGCTGGGATATGGGGACATGGCAATGGATGCCTCCATCCACCCAATCCTAATCCCCAAATCCACACAGAAACCCAAGCTGGGAAAAGACCAGGATGGGGCATGTCCCCAGGACATGGAACTGTTGGAACAAGTCCAGAGGAGGCCACGAGGATGATCAGGGACTGGAGCACCTCCTGTATGGAGCCAGGCTGAGAACGTTGGGGCTGTTCAGCCTGGAGAAGAGAAGGCTGCGTAGAGACCTCATAGCAGCCTTCCAGTATCTGAAGGGGGCCTATAGGGATGCTGGGGAGGGACTCTTCATTAGGGACTGCAGTGACAGGACAAGGGGTAATGGGTTAAAACTGAAACAGGGGAAGTTTAGATTGGATATAAGGAGGAAATGCTTTCCTGTTGGGGTGGTGAGGCACTGGAATGGGTTGCCCAGGGAGGTTGTGAATGCTCCATCCCTGGTGGTGTTCAAAGCCAGGTTGGACAGAGCCTTGGGTGAGATGGTTTAGTGTGAGGTGTCCCTGCCCATGGCAGGGGGGTTGGAACTGGATGATCTTAAGGTCCTTTCCAACCCTGACTATTCAGTGATTCTGTGACTCACAGGAGTGCAGCTTGAACATCAGCTTGACGGCGTAGTGGTAGAGGTGGCTGCAGTCCTGGATGACCTGGATGAGGGGGGCCAGGCGGCACTGCACTGCTGACATCTGCGACACGGCCATCGACGTGTTGAGCTGCCTGAAAACTGGAGGGGGAGCACAGTGAGGTGCTGGCACCGCATCTCTGCTTGATCATTAACCACAAGGGATGTGGCTGTGCCAGGATATGGGATACACACCGGGGCTGCTGCCTGCCCTGTCCCTGCTGCACTGGGAACAACCCCCTTCCGGGCAAGAACACCCAAAGATATGGTGGTGGTGGCAGAGGAAAGGGGTGCTCAGCACTGCCCTGGGTACCCCAACCCCAAAAAGGAGGGATCTAACCCCAAAACAATGTAAAGGCTGGGCAAGGCAAAGGGGTTTGCTCTGCTCTATTTAACCATGCAAGGAGCCGGGAGAGCATCCCAGGGCAGGGGATGGACCTGCCGACACTGCAGCCTCGCATGCCCCGGCTCGGAAACAGATCCCTTCCCTTGGCAGGAATCCAGCCAGCAGATCCCCTCTGGCTTCTGCCCTGCTCAGCTTTAAAGTATTTATGAATATAAATTCTCTGCACAACTGGGTCAGGAGGAGACGCGGGAGCTGGGGGGAGCTGGGAGCACCGTGGCTCCCGCTGTGCCCCGCTTTCCAGGGCAGCTCCCTGCTCCTGACTCACAGCAGAGGAAGAAACTGCCCCGTTTTTAAGCCATCTAAAAATTCCTGGAGAAGGAGCCAAGAGAATCACACATTCCCAAAGGAATTTCAGCACGGGAAAAGGAGTATTTAGAAAGAGGCACAGCCTCATCCTCTGCTTCGGGGAGATAGCAAGGATTTGGGTAATGCATGTGATTCACATGGTTGTACCAAAACCAAAGAAGAGCCCATTTCAGAGCAGCGCTGCTCTGAAAACAACGCTCTGCACTGCTCAGGTGGGCTAAACCCACCACATTCCTCAAGTGTTTTCCTACAAGCACCTCTATAGGGAATCAACAGGGGAACAGAGCTGAGGAAGGAGCTCGGAGACCTCCTCGCAGGAGGAGGGAGGAGCTGAGCCTCTGACCTCAGGCTCCCGAGCTCCATTCGTGACCAAAGAGCGAAACTATTGCTCAAGAGCCCCTGGGAGGGACCTGCTGCCTCCTCACCTGACTCCGACAGCTTCAGCTCCCAGTCCAGGTAGTCAAACAGCTCCACCGTCAGCTGGAAGCTACCAAAGAGACCCCAGAGCACATCACCCATCAGCAGAGACATCCTTGCTCCAGCTGCTCACTGTCACTGCAGGTCCTTGTGAGGGTGAGGGCTCAGAATGACAAGGATTTGGGTTGGAAGGGACCTTAAAGCTCCTCCAGCTCCAACCCCTGCCATGGGCAGGGACCCCTTCCACTGGAGCAGCTTGCTCCAAGCCCCTGTGTCCAACCTGGCCTTGAGCACTGCCAGGGATGGGGCACCCAGAGCAGGTTTGCTCCCTGCATTTCCATTCCTCCCTGCTCTGCGGGTGCAGGAGGAATGAGGCCCCATCCAACCAGCCCATAAACCACCGGTGGGTGCCCTGCTCAGGAGCTGGTCTGTTGCAGGATGCAGCCAGCACGGAGCTGGTGAGCGCGCACCGGGCGCTGTGTTCCCGGCAGGACACTCACATGTTGTTCACATCCGTCCCTGCTGTCTTCTCCAGCACCTCATCCGGCACCTCGAGGCCCGGGGGGAACTCGGGATGCTTTGTAAAAGGAGAGAGAAAACAGCAATGGCTGTGAATGCTTTCACTGGGGTGAAGCATCCCCCGGGGAAGCCCTGTCCCCCAGCAGGACAGGGCATGGAGGCAGCAGAGGGTCTCACCTTGATGTGGAAGGAGATCTTGACGAGCAGGAGCCGTGTGTAGATGGTCACCAGCTGCCCATACCTGTCATGTAAATGGCCCTGCCAGAGACACGAGGGGAAATGAAGCAGGTCTGAAGCGATACAACCAGATCCAGCACATCCCACATGTGCCGGCGGCCCTACGGCTCTCACCCATGCCCTTCACCACCACCGGCAGGGTCACAGAGGAGGGGTTGTTCAGGTGATGCTTTGCCCTCCCTGTGCTCACAGTGGTTTTCGCCACCTCCAAACTCCCCAGAAGGCACAAATCTCCTTTCACCCCACTCACCCACAGCTCCCCTGTCTCTCGGATGTTGCTGCGGTACCGCTGGCAATCCTGGAGGACCTGGGGGCAAAAGCATTAGAATCATAGAATAGAATCATAGAATGGTTAGGGTTGGAAAGGACCCTAAGATCATCCAGTTCCAACCCCCCTGCCATGGGCAGGGACACCTCACACTAAACCATCTCACCCAAGGCTCTGTCCAACCTGGCCTTGAACACTGCCAGGGATGGAGCATTCACAACCTCCCTGGGCAACCCATTCCAGTGCCTCACCACCCTAACAGGAAAGAATTTCCTCCTTCTATCCAATCTAAACTTCCCCTGTTTAAGTTTGAACCCATTGCCCCTTGTCCTATCACTACAGTCCCTAGTGAAGAGTCCCTCCCCAGCATCCTTGCAGCCCCCTTCAGGTACTGGAAGGCTGCTATGAGGTCTCCACGCAGCCTTCTCTTCTCCAGGCTGAACAGCCCCAACTTTCTCAGCCTGTCTTTATACGAGAGGTGCTCCAGTCCCTGATCATCCTTGTGGCCTCCTCTGGACTTGTCCCAACAGATCCATGTCCTTTTTATGTTGAGGACACCAGAACTGCACCCAGTACTCCAAGTGAGGTCTCACAAGAGCAGAGTAAAGGGGCAGGATCACCTCCTTTGACCTGCTGGTCACGCTCCTCTTGATGCAGCCCAGGATACGGTTGCTTTCTGGGCCGTGAGGAAGACGTGAGGCAGAAGCTGTTCCCTGTGAGGGTGCTGAGGCGCTGGCACAGGGTGCCCAGAGAAGCTGTGGCTGCCCCATCCCTGGCAGTGTTGGACAGGGCTTGGAACTGGATGAGCTTTAAGGTCCCTTCCAACCCAAACCATTCTAGGATTCTATGACTATGAAAACCAGGAGGGATGCGGCATGGGGGGGCTGGCATGGAGCTGGGCAAGTGCCCACCCGCCTGCCCTGAAGCTGGGGAGAAGGTTGGGTCCAGCCCCTTTTGCTGCTCCAGCCTTGGAAGGAGAAGTTCAAGCCTTTTGATTGCAACCAGAGGCTGGGGCTTTGCACGGGTTGGTTTCAAAGATGGGAGGCAACAGAGTGCTTCACAGCCCCATGGCCTGGGAAAAGCAGCAGGGGCAGGGAGGGACCCCCCCAATGCAGCGGGAAGGATGCTCCGAGGGGACACTCACATTGGGGTGGCCGTCACGCAGCACCTTATGTAGGACATGGCAGAACTTCCAGCTGAGGATGGCGCTGCTGGGCAGGGGCAGCCCGATGGCGTAGGACCAGAAGGTGAACGCTCCCTTCTCGTGGTGAGTCCCCAGGATGATCCCTTCCCTGCAGTCAAGGCCAATGGGACACACATGGGAGCAGGGAACAGGCTGGGCTGGGGACTGTTCCTGTTCACGCTCGTTACAAAGGGGACACACACAGTGCACCGCAGGCACAGGGATCACTGACACGATGCTGCACTCACAGTTAAAACCCCATCTCTTTTCCTACCCCCCTGCAGGGCACACCGGGGCCCTCTGCATTTTACTGCCCAAGAGATGCAACGTTCCTGCACTGCTCTTGTTTGCATCTCCACTGATGGATGCACCTACAAGATGCCAGCCCCCAACCAAGCTCTGCGTGGGTCTCCTGTCTCCCAAACCTCCCATAGCTCCGGCCCCACAGGGTGAAACAGCATCTCCTCTGCACCCTCCAGGTGAGCCAAGGGGAAAGGATACGTCGGGCATGTTTCTCCTTCACTGGTGCTTCTTGTGTGTTGATGGCTTTGCTGATGCTGATGGCCTGCAAGAGGAGAGAGCGGCGTGACCCCTGCAGCTGGTGCTTTTGGGGAATACCCTGCATTTTATAACACCTCAAAGCTGTCTGTGACACACCAAAATAGGCTTTTTTTACCCACAAAACAACCCGTTGAAAGCCAGAGCCGGGTCACTACTGACCCACTGCTGATGCTCCTCCTTGACCCTGTCCCAGGAAACAAACCGCTGCATTTCTGCAGCCTGAACTCGACTCCGTCCCCGGCAGCATCAAAGCACAGCAGCGAGATGCCGCATTCCAGGGTTGTTTGTTTGATCACAAGGAGCCTTTGAACTGGGGAGGAGGGAAGGCTTTGGAGGACCTTCCTCCATCCAGACGCAGTCCCCAGGCACGGAGGGGCTGGCAGCCACAAAGCCCATTTAGACAGAGCAAAACCGAGGAGCAATGCGAGTGTCAGGACAGGATCATCCATACTTTAACGTGTTTGATCACAGCACACTTTAAGGTACACGTTTATTCCATAGGATGACCCAGACAGGGGTCGGTTTTACCGAGCTGCTGTGATTGATGAGGGTCTGGCTCCTCCTCACTGGGTCCCTACGGACTGCACTGAGCTGCTTCACCCTCTCCCCAGTGCTGGAGCTGTGCCTGCGCCTACAAGCCCTTCGTCACCGGCAGAGGGAAAAGGTCCCAGCTGGAAAGGCAGGAAGCGGCTCCGCCGGAAGAGAAACCCGGTCCCTCCCTGCAGCCCCACAAGCCACAGAACCCTATAAAACCCAGGCAAGCACCTGCCCTGACACCCTGCTTGTGCCGTGATGCCTCCGAGCTGAGGCACCTTCCTGCGGGAACAGGAACCCGATGCCGAGCTATCGAGTGCTCCTGACTTATGCAGGAGGAACCCGATGCTGTGCTGAAGAGGCGATGCCAAAGGTGTCCATGCACCAAATCAGCCCCGAAAGAGCGGCACCTACAAGCTGACCGTGACAGCAACAAAACCACAGTGAATGAATCCCAAAAAGCGAGCCTGTCCCAAAGCGATAAGCCCGGGAAAAGAGGCTGGATTTGCCTTTCCCGCAGCGGGGAAGCCCCGGTGTCACCCTGCCATGTGGGGCCGCACAGCAGCAGCGGAGTTAAGCCGGTGACTCGCTGTAATCCTCTTATCCCCAAAGGTTAATGAGCCTGGAGTGCCCGGGAACAGGCACTTGCAGCGCAACCACCCGAAAGCCTGGAGCCGATGGAGAGGCTGCATCCTTGATCCTTGGACAGAGAGGAGATGCTCCTGGGGTCCTGAGGGCTGCCAGCACCTCCCAGTGCAGCCAAAGGGATGCTTTATTGACTGAAGGCAAAGCTCATCACGCACCAGACAGTGACAAGACCATGGCTTCACAAGGCAGGGCTTGGAGACGCACCCTGAGGCAAAGAGCTGCTAAAGGGGTTATTGCATCCTGCTCAGATCCCAAACCTGGGTTTGCACTGCCTGCCTTGCGCGGGGGCAGCACGATGGGCTCATCCCAACACATCAGCTCCCAGACCCCCAGGAAAGGGAATGTTGTCCAACATCCCTAGGACAGGAGCTCGGCCACCCAGTACTGCATGGTAGGATGGGACTACAGCTGGGACCCAGCTGGCCTATCCCCAAACCAGGCTGTAATTCCCATTGGTGCTGGTGGTTTTATGGCATTTATGGCCCATAATGTCATTACCAGCCAAAATCCAGCCCGGGAGCTGCTGCAGGGGCTGGTTTCACCTTGGTGATTCAGCACAGAGGTTTTTACAGGGCCATTTTACATCCAGCACAGAGCAGGAGCAGCCCCCAGCCCACCCACAGCAGTGCCGTGACAGAGACACCACACTTAGCATGGTGCCACCAAACCAACACCAATCCCTTGGGGCCGCTGACCCCAAATCCCAGGGTGGCCAGAAGGTCCATGAAGAGGCAATGGTGGGACCAGGGATGGGCACGGGGCGATGCTGCAGCCTGGGACATGCATGTCCCTGCCGGCTGCTTGGTGAAGCTGGGCTGTGGCTGGCTCTGAGACAGGGACATTGACCCTGGCCCACACATCAGGAGCACATCTGGAGGTGGGCAGGTCCTGGCTGCCACTGCAGGCACACCATCAGCGCTGACAGGACTTTCATGGGGGTATGGGGGGGGTCCAACCCCAAAACCTGCCCATCCATGGGCCGCGGTGCCCACGGGTGCAGCCCCAACGCCTTACTCACAGCCCTCACGTACCAAGCTGGTGACTAAAGCCGGGATCAAAGCGCCCAAATGAAGGAGCAGGGTTTATATCCACCCTTTCTTTCCAGGCTGCTTTTAATTACAGCAGGATCCTCCCCACCCACAGCTCCCCAGGGCCCTGGCATCCCGCAGGAACACAATCCCGGGAGGGGAACGCCGGGTCCTGGCACAGCGCTCTGGGAGCAGGACATGGAGCTGGAAACCTCCCCAGCGAGGGCTGCTGGATCAGCTGAACTGCAAACAGCAGCTCCGGAGCTCCCTTCCGAATGCTCCTCCTTCCCAAACCACACCACTGGGCAGTCACACATGCGGTATTCCTGGAGCTCGATGGAGTTTTCACCTCCTTGCTTAAGAAAAGCAGGAATTGGCTGCAGAAAGGGGCAAGTCTTGCTTCCTGCTGCAGGACAGCAGCCTCCCACCTCCCACCTCCCACAGCAGCGGCTCCAAGGGGGATGGCAGCATCACACCACCTCGAAAAGCGTTTTAAGGGCAGCCAGTGACCTTCACAGCACCCGGGATCACACAACCCCTGCCTGCACCTGCGGGCATCACCCTGGCCTTTGCTGGGGAAAGGAGATGGGGCTCCTGGTTTTGGCAGCATCGTGCTCCACTGAAGGCACACGGAGGGGACACGGCACTGGTGTCCCCATCATACAAAGGTGACCAGCGGCCATCTCCACAGCTGCTATAATTAGACATAAAAGGCAAATCAATACCCACGTACTGACATTGGAAAAGTTTTGCTCTCACAGGAAGCATTACTACAGGAAACATTAGGATAACGCTCCTTTAGGACTGTTTTTGAGCAGTTTTAGGGGTGGTGAATGTGACCATCAGTCAGCGAGCCCCGGGTTTAGACCCAATGGATCAGTTTTGGGTGGTGAATGTGACCATCAGCCAGCAAGCCCGGGGTTCAGATCCAATGGATAACAACCACCGACTCGCCCTGCACACGGCTCTGCCCATGGTATCCCTGTGACCGTGAGCTCCAGCACAGGGCACAGATCCCACCACCAAGCCCAGAACACCACGGAAGGGCAGAGGGAGGAGGGACACGCTCCGGCCCCGCCGGCACAGGCTGCCCTTCGGCACCCGAGGCAGCGCTGCCACCGCGGCTCTTTATCAGCGGTGCCCGGTGGGACGGCTGCAGGAGACGTGTCCAGAAGGAACCGGAATTGCCGGTTTCCTCGTGCTGCTCCCCAAACCCAACAGGATTCGTTTCCTACCCTGCGTGCCCGAGCAGCACCGTGACCCTGGCGACTGCGACACCTTCGCTGGTGCTCTCCAGGTACAAACCAGCCCAGGGAAGGACCAGGAAGGCAAAGGGGGAAGATCCCTGCTGTGCAATCACAGCCTGCAAAACGAGCGGCCTGGGGACGTGCGCGGGGAGGGCACTATGGCTTTTGCCGGGGGAGCTGCTGAGCCCATCCCTCTGTCCATCCCTGCCCATGCCGTTGGGGTAATAACATCCCACAAGCCGGATGACAGCCGTGTTGGTACCCTGAGCATCACCCACCCCATGGGGGCTGTGGGAAGGGCTATGGGCACCCCTATCCAAGCCAGACACCGCGGGACACAAACAACTTCAGGCCTTGTTTTGACTCTGCCACCCTCCCTGGGACCGGACACCCCGGTCCCCAAGGGGCCACTCCACGCGTGGCCCAGACCCGGTATAAAACAACCCCCGGTGCCGCTGGGCAGCCCCGGCCCGGGACCGAGGGGCACTGAGGGGATGCAGAGATGCCCGCTACCGGTGCGGCGGGCACCGGGCTCAGCCGCGCTCCCGCCGGAGCCATGAAACTTCCCGTGTTTGCTCACGGCCGCGTTTACCTGCCGGTAAGGCCGCGGGGCTGCGGGCACGCACACACACACACACACACACACACACACACACACGCACACACACACACACACACACCGCCCGCACGGGGCTCTGCCGCCCGCCGGGGCGACGGGACCCGGCCCCAGTGCCCGGCCCAGGGACAGCGGGACGGGCCGGTACCCACGCGGGACCGGGCCGGGGCCACGGAGGGAGGAAGCGATGGGGCAGGTGGGGGCAGGGGAGCGTGCACCGCACCGGTAGCAGGGACGGGCGGACGGGCGGACAAACAGCGACCGCGCCGCCCCACCGGGGGGTCCCTGGACCCAGCTTCCCCCCCAAGCCCCGCGTTCAGGGGATGCCCCGCGGAGGGGCCGGTCCCCACCACTCCCACCCCAGGTCGGGACCGGTACCGGAGCCGGTACCGAGGCACCCTCACCCCCTTCCGCCGCCCTTGCCTGGTTCTTGTCGAACTGCTCCCGCTCCGCCTCCAGGCTGTGCCCGCCGCGGCGGCTCAGCACCCTCGCCGGCACGCTCTTGATGCTGTTCATGGCGGCCGCGCTCCGGGCACCGGGTACCGGGTACCGGGAACCGCGCTCCGGGCAAGCAGCGCCCGGCCCCGCCGGCTCCTCCCGGCCGCGCACTGCGCCGCGCCGCGCCCCAGCACCAGGGCGCCCCTAGCGGCCGCGCCAGGCCCCACCCACCCGCGGCAGGTGGAGCCCTGCCCGCACCCCCGAGCCGGGACCCGGAGCCCCGGGGACGGGCCCGCAGGGTGATGGCTCCTCCCGCGCCGCCGCCGTAGCGCGGAGGGCGCCCCCCTCATCCCGCTCCAGACACGTCCCGGAGGGTCGGGGCCCCGGCGGTACCCGCCTGTCAGCGCTGCCCCGTTGGGAAAGCCACGCAGCAGCGAGGGCAGCGACCCTGCGGCAGGGCTGGAGCCCAGCGGCAGCTTTGCTTTCTTTAGTAATTCCGTATGAAAACACAACAGCAAAGGCACTGCCGGGAGGATCCGCAAGGCTGCCAGAAACGCGGCAGCGGAGTTTGAGGCCGCCTGAGTCGTAGCGAACACAATTGGTTTGTTCCTGAATCAACTATCCCCCGATATTCCCCACTGCACAAACCGAGGGCAGCCCCAACGCACAACCCTGCGGCTCCAATGATCCTCGTCGCATCACTTCAGCTTGGTTTTCTGTATGACTGCCATTTGAAAAGCACAGGTTGTTCACTGCATTCACTCATTGCTGCTCGACACATTTAAACCAGCTCCTGCTGGGAAGCTGCAGCAGTTTCTCCAGGAGCTGGCATATGGTACAGCTGTGGGGCAGCTTTGGGATCAGCATCACAGCATTGCCAGCATCAGCTTTTTGAGGGGGACTTTTGTCATACCCACAGCAGAGGATTTGAGGATGGAACCTGGAAAGCTTCTCTTAGGAAAAGGAATCAAATGCACTTTAAATGCATGTGGAAACTCAAAGAAAAGCTGAGACTCCCTTTGTGGGTAATGCCCGCGGGTGGCGAGGGACAGGGAGGATGCGGCTGTGATCAGAATTAGTTGACCAATTTTGAGGCCATGAGCACGTTACCTGGCATTTGGGTCGTTAGAAAGAGAGCAGAAAATTACAGGAAAGAGTTAACAAGGGCAAACCACTGTGGATTTTGCTGCAATTAACTCCTGGCTTGGACAGAGCCAGAAACTCCCACCCCTTTGCTGCCCCAAAGCAGGGACAGAGCTGCAGACCCAGCTCACATCTTCAGCAGTTGGTGTTGTACATCCCAAAGAACCACCATAAATGAAGTACTAAATGTGTAAGCATGTTAAAAAGGCAAGAAAGATACAGCAAAGGTGCCACCTCTATTTGCTTATTTGATCTTTTAGTTAAAAAACAAGTTCATATTGTGGTAATGGAATACATCTTGCCCAATAGCCAAGGATTAAAAACCAGTTTAAAGCCAAAACCCCAGTCCCACCACACTGGACACACCCCATCTTGTCACAAGCTTCTGGTAGAACAAGCAGTGTCCAATGGAAGCGGTGCTGTGCCCGTCTCATGGGTGACAACTGTCCTCTTCCAACCACGCAGGAGCAGTTCCTGGCTACAGCACTAATTGGGAACTTCCTATAAACATTATTCATCTCCCTCTACATGGCCACAAGTCCAGAGCTAAAACAATCAGCTATAAAAAAAAAGGAACATTTGGCTGTGTCATAAGCTATAAATATTTCTGAGCCACCATAAAAAAAGGAGTAAGAAAAATAGTTCCTGTGTTGTAACAATTACGCACTTGAGATTCTTCAAACCCAAGCCAGTGTTTAACCTGAGCTCTCAGCTATAAAAATAGTTTTGTTGAGCTTGGCGTTAGTCTATGTTTTATTTCAAGATAAAACACATCCCCACATCTCTTTGTGAGGCTTTCACTCCAAAGAAGCATGGGAAAATAATGAGGTAACTTTCCATCGCAGCTGATGGGTTGGTGATCTTCAGGTCTCCAAGTTAATTCTGTACTGGAAAGGTCTTCATCTGCTGCAGAAAATGGAAGGTTTTTGTTAAGTTTCAGGAACATTTCCTTTAAAATAGAAGAAGTGCTCACGTATCTGTCAGTTTACTATAGAGAATTTCATGCTGTAAGCAACCTAAAACCAGTGTACACATATAAAGAGGAGGAAAGGTAACCAAAGCATTTCATGACAGCGGTCTTGGGACACTGCTGCAATGTTGGGAAATAGAAACCTTTCCCATTTGTTTTGCAGAGGGATCAATCTTTGTGCCCTCAGTCAACCACTGCGTCACCACCCCTGAGCAGTGGCACTCACGACCTTGTCCAAAACTGAATGTCCCCTTTCACTCACTGCTTTGTTGGTCAACTCTCCCCCAAACACTCTCTCCCTAAAGGAAAACAACCCACTCATGGAAATGGACAAATCCCCCCCAGCGAGTCAGGAAATTAACCCAATGTCAGTGCACCTGCACTCAGATGATTGCAAAGCTATTAAAAACCACCCCCAAACCCAGTGCACATCAATTCTATCACTTCCCTATGTGAAATGGCCAAATATTTAGTTATTTCTGGACCTGCTATCAACTCTAAAAGCTGCTTTGGACCAAATCAATCACAGTGATCCAGTGCCTTTTAATAAAAGGAGGAAACCAGAATTATGCAGCAGCCAGTGACCTGCAGAGTCACTACTTCTTGTCGTGGCTCCACAGTGAATTGTGGGTCCGTTTGTTGCACCAGACCTCTCTCACTTGAGGCAAATGAACTCGTTTCTGTAGGCTCAGCGTCTGCTCCCCCTCTGCTGCCTCAGCAGTTTGGGGGATTTGCTCCTGAAACTTTCCAACTGCAGTAGTTTCAGGATGCAAGTCACAGTGCTGGCCTGCATCCATAAAACCTCCAGCTTCTTTTACCTGAGGGCTCTTTTCAGGAAAGGAAGAGCTCTCCACACAGGAACATTGTGCAGAGTAAGGTACAGCATTCCAGCTACTCAGCATCCATTTCCCACAAGAGCCCCATTAACGTGCACTAAGCAGACCCAACTCACTTTGGAAGAAGACTCAGTGTCTCCAGACTTATTGCAGCAACAGCAGAACATGCGGGTGCTACAAGCCAGCACACAGAGGGTTTGGCTCCATAGGAGAGAGACAGCTCAGGGACTGCACTTTCAGTGTACCAAGAGAGAACTGGGCACCAGCTCTCCATGAGATTAAAGGTACTCAGTGTAAGAAATCCAGTGCCACAGAGCTGCATACTCTGCTTGTTGTGCAGTAACTCCCCTTGGCTTGGGTTGTGTCAGCACTGGAAGACTTCTTTTTTTGTCCATTTTCTCCCCATTGTTGCTAGTTCTTATTCATTTTCACGTGGTGTTCAGTATTTTACCCATATCTGGTTACTCATTTGTCCTCAGAACCAGACAACACGGTGCCTACTGCAAGGATCCAATTCACATCAGTAAAACAAATAATCAGAGAGTGAGAAATTTCCTGATTCAAGAAGAAAAAACAATCAGCTATGGGCAAGGCTGCTTTTTGTATGCAGCTCTATTCAACACATTCTGCTTCTGGAGCTCTGAGCCCAGGAACAATATGCTAAAACAGCCCTTGGCCATGGCACTGGAAAACACTTCCCAGTCTCTCCTTTACAATGTTCACATCCTTGATCCCTTTATCTGTAACACACAGAAGGATTTTTAACTACAATAAGCAGTGTGTAGGTACTCAGGAATTATGCTGCAAGATCTGACTGCCCAGAGGATGAGGAAAGTGATTGAGAAAAGTTTATTTGACTAAAGGGATTACTTGTTGCCTTACTATCTGTTTGCTGTTAACTCACAGGAGTTTTATTCGAAATGCATTTAGAGCAGCCCACTGAGAATCTTGTGCCAGGCTCATCTCAGAAGTCCATAACTTATATTAATATTGGAGGTGCATTTATAAAGAGGAACAGAAAACTCCAGTTAAGAAGATCAAGATGAAAATACCTTCATACTCGCAGAACATCACAGAGAAAAGAATGGGAGCTTAGCACCTCCTTCTTCTGCAGCAGATAACTGGGTTCTGTGAAGACCTTCTGCAAGTTCTGTTGTCTACATTGTAAAGCAAAAACACTACATGGAAACCAAAGAACTCAGATAACACAAATTACAGAGCTGCCAGGCTCAAACTGGGGAGCAGCAAGGACACACTTTTGAAATCCCTCTTCTCCCTCCTCCAAGGAGGGCAAAGAATCCAACACGTACAAATTCTTACTGATCCAACCCTAAGGGTTATATTTGATACATGTTTTAAAGCACAGTTTAAACCAGCCTCAGGTAAACCCAGCTTTAAGCACAGGTTATGTGGCCTGCACAGAGGAATTAAAAACACGCTTGACAAGTCTTTCCCCAGAACCACTCCGAAAGTAGATCAAAGTTCTACAGATGTGGTGCAGAAGCTGCCCCCAGCAGTAAACACGAGCCTGCTTCATTTTCTATCCACTACAGCAACCACCTCGAATGAGGAGCCGATTTCAGGCTCAAAAATGCAGTATCAGGTTGTAAAGCAGAGTCACACTCACTACCAAAGGACAGCCGGTTTAGCTGAGCTGTGACGTGCCAACCAGGAAAGCAGGAGCCAGACAGCTGATGGGGCTGGGCAGGAGCCACAGGCAGCCACTGTTCTGTAGAGAGCTTTTCAGGAATCCCTCCTACACGACAGCCTTTGCAAACGACTACACTGCTGCTGTCTCTCACGCTGAATGAAACCCTGCAGATGAAGTTCTGAACAAAATATCCTTTCAGCTTATGCAAACGCTGGCACACAACCTTTAGACTCTGTCAGTCAGTCCCAGCACAGCTAAGGTTTTGTGGTTCTGAATGTTATAAAAATCACTTTGTCTGTTACTTACAGCAACATTGTTCTGGTCAAGTTCATCTAAGGATAAAAGGGGTGCAACTTTTTTAGAGAGATGTCATATCTTTCAGGAGAAAGCTGAGGTTTCAGCATACAGCTTCTCACTGGGTCTGCTTTACCACCAAAAACCTAATTTCTCCTTAGTAGTATTTAACAGCACATGTTTAGTCTTTTTTAGTGACAAGTGGCACAATCTCCTCATCAAACAAGGCAGAAATTCTTAAGGATATATGTGAAAGCCAACAAGTGACCCCTCCTGCAATTATACCTATTACTGCCCACATATTCAAGATAAACTCCTGATCAGCACTCATGCTCATAAAATAAACTGCCCTGACAGCTATGTACAGGTTATTTTCTTTGACCATTGAGTATGTTCTCTGACCCTGCAATGAAGCCCACAAAAACTCTGAAGTTATTTAAGCTAGGAGTCTGGTTTAAATTCATACACAAACCTATCCTCTATGTCACTTATTTCCTGTACTGTCCTCCTTTCCACAAATATGCCTCATGTAATAAACCAGGTCTGAATGTCCCTTATACAGCTTGCTCCAAAACCACTTCTTCTTAGCATCTGTTTAGACACAGGCAAAAATCAAATCCTGTCATGGCCCTGAGGAGCCATAAAGAATCCTATATAAAATTCAAGTACTTCATGCTAAGGCATGCAGGATTTTTACCTTCATGAGGAGGATATTCATAGCATTGTAGTGCAAGGGAAAGGATGTTCCCAATCACTATTAATGACCACCTAAATCTAGTCATGGGAGAGCAATCTATACCGTGTTAATGTTGCTGCTGTTTGGACTGCAGTGAGGGCTCGCCTGGAGGAGAGTGCTAAGCTCCAGATCAGCAACCATCTGTCGAGACTCAGCCAGCGCATGCTGCAGCTTACTTATGGGAGAACTGGTGTCCTGGAGGAGACAGAAAGGGAGCCAAAGTTATGAAACGGTCATTTTGGAATATGTCAAAGGATTATAACCCACCAAGAATCATCACTTTCATTTTGAAATGTCTCTATTCAAAATACTACTGTATTACACTGCTCCAGTGTAATAGTACTACATTACACTGCTCCAGACTCTAAGTGGTGTTATTTGTAATAAACACAGAGGTCTTTCCTGGTATCAGCTTTTAACAGAGTTTCACATGCATGCACACACAGTGCACAACGCACACAATACAGCACAAACACAACTAAACAGCAATACTTCAGTGAGAAAGGGGAAAACCAGGCAAGACAAAAACCCAGTGTCCAATAATCTGAAATAACTGTATCCAAGCATACTCAGGTATTGTGGGTTAATGGAATTTCCAATTAGCCAGCATTCATTATCCTAAAGCCTTGTATTTCAAAAGCTTATATCTATCTCTAGATATAGATATATCTATAATTTATAAATTAGATATATCTATAAAACAGTATCTATAATATTGGTTTGAACTCCTTACACTTACGCTGTCCAAGGCAGGGACAAAATGGAATTATTTTAATGACGTATTTTATCATTGTTGCTTTAAGCCTCATGTTCCATCATTCCAGACCCTAGTTCTGCCACACTGGCAGACAACTGCTTTCCTACCATCACAATTCCCCTTACAATCATGGAAGTACGTTCTGCAATAAAATACTGACTCGGTCCATGGCGGTGTTGCAGCATCTGTTTGTTGGCTCAGTCACTGAAAAGCTTTTGATCTCCAGAGTGAATTCTTCATCACAGAATTTCTCCCATCTTTGAGGCCTGTCTCCTTTCTGGGTGGATGTCAAACAGGGAGAATCCAAGTGAAAGGAATTCAGATCCACGTTTTCTCCACTGTTAAAAAAATGAAGACATTGCCAGAAACAGTATCGCCAACCTTTCTCACCTTTCAAAGGAATATCATGGGACAGCATAAATAATCATGAGCTCTGAGCCAAGAAAACCATGGAGCATGTGAGAATACTCTGCTCCTCAGAGCAGTTTCCATGTTTAACAGCTTCATTAGATCAGTTTCAACCTCTGAGGACAACAGTCTGAAATTCAACCAGTTTTAAGAACAGTTACCATGTGCTTGCGTATCTAATTTAACCTTGCAAAGAGCACATAAAAGGCAGTCTCTAACTCCTCCAAATACTCTGGTACTCCTCCTTCTCCCTTTTTTTCAATCAACCATTAGGCTAATTAATATCTATAGATGTTCTTTGCAAGGGAATTTCAGTCTTTTAAAGTCACCATCTCACTTCAGAGATCACAGGGGAGCTTCCCCAAAGAGGCGTTATTCAAATACAGCAGCAAACAGTAAAGTGCTGTTTGAGCAAACTGTGATTAAACCCAAGACTCAGTTGCCCGACTGCCATTCCAGTGTGGAGCTGGAAGCAGACAATCTATTGGCATACATCTTCCCTTAGCTTCTGAGTGCATTTAGGAATATCTGAAAAGCAATTTAAATGTCTGTTAAAGCAACAAATCATACCCTGCACCTACTACTGTATGAACACTGGCTTGCAGCCATCCCAAGCTTGTCCTAATACAAAAGGTCTTTAGCACTTAATATGCATACTGAATGACTGAAACTTCTCTTTTACACCTCTCCCACAATAAAAAAGCAACAAAGGTGTAAGAGAAGAGTTTCAATTACACTCTACCCTAGAGAAAAACACTTCTCAATTTCAATTCCTTAAATCACAGCATTGCCAAATCCCTCACTCAGCTCCAGCACCAATTAATCACAAAATAAGACCAGAAATAATAAAAGCTGTAGCACATTTGAAATGATCTTGATCATCTACCATAGCAGTACAGGAACCCAGCAGCACCCTAACTAAGCCTTCTGTCCCCAGTGCTGTGTTTTCACATACAAAGACCTGCCCTGGTTTCTGTCAGCAGTTTCAAGCTTTGCAGTGCTCATTTTCAACTGCTCATTTCCACTTCATACAAAAGTAAATGAAATAGTGAGCATCTCCCCAAAAGACAACATTTCTGCATCACACTGAACAAACCAGAAGCACAGCTCTAGCACCGCCTGGATCGGGTGAGCACAAGAATATGCATATTTTAAAGAAAATGCTACTTTAAATTTACAACATTTCATTAAATACTCTTTAGATACTTATTTTGGTGGAACAGCACATTCCAGACCAGGCAAGACTGTTAAAAAAAGGTTATTTTTAGATGACATTCAATCTAAGAAAAAGCCCTTGTGAGGGATGCCAGCTCACAAGTGTCTGTTGTGTCTCATTTCACTTCTCTTGTAAAACACTGAGGTACAATGAATAGGCTTTCTTTTAAGAGAGAAAAGCTCATGTTGGTGTGCTTCTGACAGGGAAAGGCTCTGAAAAGATGTAAGGGAATAAGCTGTATCAGCCTAGAAAAGGGGATGTGAGGAGATGCTATGAGCACAGCCAGTTTTGAAGAAATCCCCAGGTTGGGAGGGAGGGGGAAAAACAGGTTTGATTTTGAGGCAGGGCAACAGCTCAAGGAAGCAAACTGAACAGGTAACTGCTGACACTCTGCCTTTAAAACCAGAATTGAGATAAAAATCCAAAGGCAGCAAACGTCAGTCCAACATAAAGGAAGTCACTAAGAGCACAGAAACGACTCCTGTGCTCCAGTATTTCACAACCACTCTTGCAGTTGGTTAAGGTATTTGACTGTGTTAATAGCCTTCTTGTTGGCTGCTCCTGGATTCAAGAACTCATGTCAAAAATATTTGCTGGGCTGACAGGGAGGTGCCAGCACCCTCCCCTACACACAAAATACATCATCAGCAGTACCAAGCCAGCAATGGAAAACTGGAGGATCCAGACTGAAGTCCCAGAAGGAATGTGGTGTTTGCTCTCTGTCATTAATGCCTTAACAGAAGCCCACACTGAATACTGCACTACTACTGCCTTCCTCCCATCTGTGGGGTGAGAATTTATTCAGTGACAAATCAGAGGCTGGAAAACTGACAGTTTGGGATTTGCACTGAATCAATGTCTCCAATCAGCAGAGCCCCAGGACCAAATGTGGGCATCAAGAAAACCTGACAGATTAGAGAAAATCCCAAAGGGGTAGAGCTGCCCTGCCTTACTGAAGGGTATCTCCTCTATCTGCATTGCCTGGGTTGAATTTGTTCCTTTTCCCCTAAAAGTCCCTCAAGGTCAAGACAAAAACTGAAAACAGTTTTCATGATTCAATCAAAAGAGGTTTGGAGGGATGGCAGTGTGTGTCATTTGTGCTGCTGAGGGAGCAGGTAAGAAAGGGCAGGGTAGACATATGGGGAATGGAGCCTTATTAATGATTTATGGCCAGTGGAAACTAGAGGGAATCCACACACAGCATGAAGCTCAGCTAAGCTGTGTGGGAATGTGCCAGGACAGCATTCTTTTTCAATGGCTGCCCATCCACCTTGTTTCTGAGCAGGTCGGTGCCACTGCAGTAACAATTTCTGTAACAGTTTTGTTTCAAAAGCGACACAGAATGAAAGTATCTGTACATCAGATAGCTCCATTCCATAGCATTAATTTGTTTGGACATTGGGCAGACTTGCTGGCTGGAATTCTCATCAGGTTTGAACAGCTGTTCATTTACTGTACTTGCCAACTGCCAGTTGAAAAGCTGCTACTCCTCTGTCTAAAAGGCAGCTATGAAATCTCTGTCAAACATCAGAAATCCTTCTAAATCAGAGCTGTAAGTCAGTCAAGTCTTTGAGAGGAAACAGAGGAACCAGCACAACAAATCCACAGAAAGTCCCAGCTCTGAATGCCCTTGCTTGTGCAGGCACAAAACCACTTCTATAAATGTAAAGCAGCTTTTGTACCTCAGATACCTTCCAATACCACCGAGACACCTGAGTATTTTTCTGGCACTTTTCAGCATTAGAAGCCTCATTCTGCTCACCCCCAAACACGCCCTTTTTCCTTGCCCAACATAAACACAGGGATAGAGTCCCATGACCAAGGACTCACTAGAAAGCAGACAGATTGCTGTCCTTTAAATCTTGCCATCTCATTTTCCTGCCCTGAGTGAGGAAAGCAGCCTGTGCAGAAGAGCCATGTCCTACATTCTTGCCCAGCCACTGTGTGACTTCTCAACAGAAATAACACAGTCACTAAAGCATCACACACAATCTAGGTTTGTTTCTTGCCTTACAGGAACATCACTGTAGAGTCCAGCTCGATTTTACCCACCAGATTTACACGCAACATCTGGGATTTCAAAGAAATCCTGAGATGTCTTAAATCTGCATTTGTCTCAATCAGTTCATTTGGCAAGTCCCGGGGTATGGCAGCTTCTGCTACCCACACAGCTCCTGGGGATAAGAGCTGAGAAAAAATAAATGCATAAAAATAGAACCATGATACCTTAAGAGGTATTTTAACTTACTTTAAATTTACTACTTTTCAAGTTGGGAGCCTAATTTTAGAACAGCATTTACTTTAACCATCACTTGAGATAACAGAAACTATTGAGAGCTTGTACACCCAAGGTTCTACATAGCTTTAGATTATACCTCTCTATTTCTTAAACGTAACAAGCACATAACCTTTTTGAGCAGGAACATTTCATCTCTTGTGCAGTCCTGAGACAGCTGCCATCTTTTCCATGCCATACATTTCCATCTCCTTTTACGGGTTTGAAAATCTTCAACCATTCTGGATCCGATACTGGCTTCCACCAAGCATCTTTCTGGATGAAGAACTTATTACTACAGGAATCAGATTCAGACTTGTGCAGTGCAGCAGGAGTCTCTCTGATTTTTTGGTCCAACAGAATTTCAGTTCTCTCTTCCCAGGTTTCATTTTCATTAGCAGTTTGGACAGATGTGACGGTGCTCTGGATAAAAGTACTTTGCAAATCTACACAAGAACTGACATTAAGCCAGTGCTCAGGTTCAGGTGAAGATGACTCAAAGGTTTGTTGGTCTCTGATTTCCACCTCATCCTCAGAAATCTCCCTGTTTCTCAATGGCCTTGTGTTGTTTGCCTCACAAAATACTTGGCTGCCTGGCTCATCAGAGCTTGATGCAACATCCTGCTTTTCTTCTTCTGTAAGGTCAGCCAAGACTTTCACAACTTTTGGACACTGGTTTAAGTATGCTGAGGTACTTTCCTCCATGTCTGATGCATTCTGTAACAGTCCATTATCTCCTTCACTCATCTCAGAGGTGGGTTTCACCCTACTTTTTGGAACTTGTGCAGTTCCACACTCCTCGTATATCCCGTGGGTTCCCTCAGTCCTAACTGTGTCTGTCTTGCTGTTACTTTCAGGGGCAGAGAATGCCATACCTATGCTACAATGGTATGACAAAGAAAACAGTCAGATATACTGCATTTAGAGAGCATACATAACTGTACTCAAGGTTAAGCTAGACATTAACCAGAGGCTATGGCCATGGCTCTGCGGTAGTTCATATACCAACTCCAGACAGCTGTATCCTGCCAGAACCTGACAGAAGTCTGTGTTTGAGTCTAGCAAAGCCGTGTTGACACAGCACACATCTCTTTCAGGGTGTTAGTTGTGGCTGAACAGTGAAGTCTCTTTGTGAACAAACTACATTAAAAAACTACTTTACCTCCTTTCATGTGCTGCCTTTTCATGCTTCTGCCTTAATTCCTGAGAGCTCTCCAAACTGACATGAAGAAACTGCAAGTCACGCTGCTGTTTTACATAGATCTGTTTAAAGATAGTAATGTGCATTAGCGGAAGTCTGGAGCGCTGGAATATTGCCATCAGATACTAACACATTGCCTGTCTTCCAAAAACATCCTGAAAACACTTTAACAAACCCATACCTGTAGTCAAACTATTGTCAAAGCCTTCCAAATCTAAGGGGCCACCTCTACATGTATTTAGGAAAATAAAGGTTTGCAGCAATAAACAATATTTTTGTTAGAAGACTGAAGTGTTCTTTTAAGATGGAACCACACAATCATAACTACAGGACCATGAGATTTAATACATGTTGTTATGTTCAAAGTTATGCAGAACTACAGGACATGAATGATGATCATGGTATTTGGCATTCACTATGGGGAAGTTTTTGTAGAGCTGATGTAGATGATAACATACCCATCAATTATTTGCAATAAAAAAAGAACTGAACATGCCTTGAGAACCTCAGTTGGGTGCAGGTGAAAACACTGCAGAAACACAGCTCTTTCGGTACCCCATGCCCCTTTACTGCCTGAATTCACCTTGAGCATGTGTGTCAGGCAGTACACCTCACTCCCACTGCCCTTCAGGTGACTTCTCGAGCCTAGCACTCTCTGTTTAGAAACTCGCACCAACAAACTTATCTCAACAGGGTGCCCCCACTTTACTGCTACGAGGGTGGTATTTACTCATTGTAGGACTGAGTAAATACAATTATACAAAACCAGCTAAAAGAACATGTAAATAAAAGGATTTGTACCACGCATGGGGGTTTTAATTTTAACCAAAAAGGAAAAATAATGTTCCAAAGCGATCCCAGCAAGGCAGAAACAGCAAATTTGATTTCTTTTCCTTCATTAATCATAGCTAAATCTAACTTTTTATTACTGTTCCATGCAGATCTGATATACTGAAAAATGCCTTCACAGTCTCAGAGCAGAAACACAATTAGGGCTGTACCTTTCGCAAACCTGATAGCTCTGTGTCGGTCCGCGCTTGTTTAGACTTTGCAAACTGCAGAAGTTGATCCTGTCTCTTTGCTTTCTCAACTGTTTCAAAACACAGATACTTTTCTCATTACTTAAAAGTGAATAGACACAAGGCAAATACATTTGTTAATGCATGTCTGAAGCAGTAGAAACAGGTACCTAACCAGAACAAAAGCATTTTCATGAGATCAGTGGGATCTGTTTCCCCTCGAGACAAAGAGCACAAAAGCCATAAGACAACGAAACAGATTAAGTCTTTTCCTCAGACTTTCCACAGCACCTAGTTTTATTTCACCAGCAGCAATATTCTGATTCATTGACTGATTTTACTTTTTCACATTCTCATTCTTTCATGGAAAGGCAATTCAGTAATTAATTCTAATTCATGCCTTGTATAGAAAAGTGCTGAGAAATATTTCCCATTGTTTCTAAAATAAAGAGACATGGAATCAATATTTGGCAAAGGTAATGGCAGATAAGAAGTCATAGGCAAATAAGTCATACCCAGCAAAGGACATCCTTGGTCACCTATCTTTCAGGGTACATATTTCTTGTCTGTAATGACACTTCAGCAATCACCAGCCTGGCTTTCTTACCCACTGCAGCACAGAGGAGTTCCTCTCTACCCAAAACCAAAGCAAAGATTATCACCAGACAGCAGGCTGCACTTTACCAAGTCCTGCATATTAAACCAGTCAAAATCAAACCCAGCACTTGAAGAAAAGCAAGAGAAAAAGAGAACTGGTAAACATACTGCTTCCATACAAAAACCAGAGGGAGTGGGTGGGCTGGTAATTTCATAGGGCCTAAGTTTTAGGCTTTGTATGTGGCTTCTACTCAGTAGGTCGCTATTTTCTATGCAGCCTACATCAGAAGGGAGAATGCCACCCCCACTTATTGTATTAATACCACAGGAGACATGAAAATCTCAACGATTTCAAGAGAGAATCCTCTGAGCCATTTATTCCTCTGTGTGTAATCACACTGAGTGAACTTTGTGCTTTTATAAACTGCCCCTGCAGAAGCCCTAGATATTGCTTTCATAGAGCAATAGCACACAAAGCCATATGTATTAAACTGCAAGAAAGGGAGATAAGAAGCTGCCTCCTTCACAGACAGTGGTGAGCTGTTGTCTAGAAGTCTCTGAGCTATTAAAAGCTAAGGCATGAAAAGCCAACTGCCCTCACTTACCAGCAAGTGCAAGCTCGTTCCTCAAGCAGCCGTTTTCCTGTTTGAGGTGAATTATTTCCTCCTGCTGCTTATGATTTTCTTTCACCTTTTCACAGAAGTCATCTTTAAAACAAAATGCAGTATTCCCCAGAATGAAAAGGAATCATGCTGGTCTACACTAAATGAGGGGCCCAATACGAACGTTTACCTTTCAGCTTATTTGCTTCAAGTACTAGTTCTTTTAGTCTAAGTTTGAGGTCTTGCTTTTCTTTGTTGAGACTGAATTGCTCCATCCTTGCCGCACGCAATGCACTTTCCACCATTTTGAACTTAGATGTAAAGTCAATGATGTGATCAGTTGTTTCAAGTATAGCCTTGTCCTGAGACATGAAATAGAATGTATTCTTTGTTATTGTTTTACATACGGATTTTGACAAACAAGAGTACATCCTACTGCACTAGTTATAGCTACTTTTGAGCTCTAGAGGAAAAAAACCCAAAATCAAACCCAGGAAACAAGCTTGTTTAGGAAAATAAAGCAGCTTATTGTTTCTTGACCAAGTTTTCCTTTTCAAACAAGCCTATGAATTTAACAGCAGTGGGCAACTAAGCTACTGTGGTACAGTCATCAGTAACTGCACTGCAGTTTGACCACATTCAGTACCTGATGAGATGACAGATGTTACCTTCAGCTTAAGCATAGTAAGTAGCTCCTGTTCTCTTGCTTGTAGCTGGCCTGTTTTAGCAGACAGTTCCAAAACTGAGCAGTGAAGACTTTGATTTTTCTCCTAGTGAACAGAAATAAGAGTGTCAGCTACTGCTTCAGTGATTCAGTTACCATTTGTCCAGAAAATGTGGGCACAACTTTATTTAAACATCATGAATGTGGGATTCTGGGCAAGCTGTGAGGATGTGGAGAAAAGAGAATTTGAGAAAACAGTTGTTCCCCAGTTCATTATAACAAAACCCTTGATTTGGTCTTAATACCCTGCATGTCTTAGGTCAAGCCAATAAGGCAGATGAAAATATAGGATAATACTTTATTGCATACAGGGGAAAAATAATCCCGACAAACACATCACTGCCGAATCACTTAATAAACCCCAGAACCCTTGAATATCCATTATTTTCACATCCTAAACCATTTTCAGAATGCTGTAGTTCATCACAGTAATCAAAGCTGTAAGTAAAATCTTCTAAAGCTTCCTAACCAAGTATCAGCACTGTTCTGGGGCCAGCACTGCCTTTTGCAATTACAGTTACAGACATTCCTGGAAGCAAGCTGATTCTGAAGTGTTCCCCCAAACTACGCAATCAAACAGCAAACTCCAAATCATAGCTCAGGAAAGCTCCCCTCCTTTATTTCCCCCAACAAATCAGAGTTATACCTTAATCTAACATTACTGTACTAATAGACAAATGCAACTCAGGAACCTTAATATGAACTATTTACTCACTAGTGAAACTCACAAATGCCACTGGCATTCTGTACATGCAGAGTCTGCAAAATCAGACCATTACTTAACTCCTACCTCCAGAGCCTGACAGTGAGCAGTTGCATCTGTCACTTTCTGTGACAGCTCTCTGAACTTCTGCTGTGTGCTTTCAAGTGTTGCCTTACTGTCACTCTGCTGAGATTCTAAGAACTTTAACCTTCTGGTCAGTGATTTGATAATCTCATTCCTCTTGTTCAGCTCATCTGAAAAGAAAGGACACAAGGGATCTGTGAGAAAACAGCTCAGACACTGTCATCAGAAATAATTTAATCCAGTGTTTTAGAATCACATGATTTGGAAATGGATCCTCTGAAGCAGGATTCCCTGCCTACCCAGGTTGGACAGTGAACTCTGTGCTGACCTCTGTACTACGCCTGTCAAACAAGACTGTTCAGAGCTGCCAGGTGATTAGCTGGGTGGCTGGTAGTTGATGTCAGTGGTGTGCAGCAGCACCTCAGGGCACAGGGCTCTGCAGTGCAACGGCATGTGTGCAAATTGTTCTCTTCCCCCACATTTATTTCATCAGATTATCTTTTTTAAGAATCCACAGAATCAATTCTACAGACTCAAATGAGAATTATGAGACCTCCTTTCAAGATCACTTTAGTACCATCATGGAAGTCTTGATTTCAGAACGAAAACAACCACATTTAAGGCCAAAGGGTAGGAAATAGTTCCTTATACAACGCAGAACTGTTACTGCGGGGTTTAAGCACCTGACCATGCTTAAAAGGGTCTTATTCTTTATACACACAACACTTACTGTTTAGTAAGTTGCACCGCTCTGCTAAAGTCAGTATTTTCTGCCGATCATCTTCCCAGGCTAGAAGCTGTCTCTGATGAACTGCGACCATGTCATCAAGTTCCTTATCACGGTCTTTCAGTTCTGCAATTAAAAACTGCAGCTCTTGCCTCTGCTTCTCAATGGTGCTGTTCTCAAGGCCTGGGTTACTGTTCTACAAAGGATAACACACAGAACACACTTTGGTGTGAAGGAGAAGGGAAAATATCTCTGGTTATAAACTAGAGGTTTTAATTTAAGCTATTTTTATATTAGAGACTGTTTCAGTGACTTCCTCATGCTTGTGGTACCACCTGCGGTCCTTAACCGAAACTGTCAGCGGTACAATGAGTAATGTCACATTAAAAACGGAGCACTGGTTTTAACTGCACTTTCGTTGTTTACCTGGGGCGGAGCAGAACGTGGCACTGATGGATTCATAGGGGACCGTGGGCCTGAGCGCTACCAGGCATCAATGGACACTGGTAACTACTGATGACTGCGACGCTCGGCATGGAGACCGCCTCCGATCTAAGGACATGGTCACCCGCCGAGGCTGCTGCTGCTGCTGCTGCAGGAATAACAAACACAAGCCGCTGAGAACCGACCGAGGCAGGGGCCCGGCCCCGCGGCTTCTGACAGGGGCCTAGGCCTGTGGAGGGGCCCTGGGGCACCCCCAGCTCGGGCCAACAGACCCTGCTCCGCCGGGGCAGGCCGCAGGTCCCCCATGTCCCCACCGTGCCCGGCCGGGGGCCTGCCCCCCGCCGCTCCGGCCCGTTACTCCGCGCCCCCCGCCAAACCCACCGGCAGCCTCGCCCTGACGTCACGGCGGCGTCCCGCCCCCGCCAGCCGTTGAGTGGCCGCCTCGGGCAGCGGTTAGGCAGAAGCCCCGCCCACCGCAATGGTGAACCTGCGGGTTCGAGTCCCGCTTGGGAAGACGAAGAGTTGTAAGGGTCGGTAATAGCGTTAACAGGAGAGCAGCGAGAACTGCTGGATTCACAGGTAACAGCTACAGAGATACACCATCTCTTTGGATACCCCATTCTCAACTCAACCTATCGGCTTATAAACAAGAATCACAACAAGGAACTTTATCGGTAGTGTACAACGCATCACCCTCCTGGGTTTCAACTTACCTAGTTTTCACTCCAACAGGAGCATGTCTATTCCAGGCCTCTGCTGCCAGGGAGCATTTAACATTATTAAATAGAGCAGTGAAAGAGAAAGCTCCAAATCCATGCCCAAGGCCATTTGTGGGAGTAAGGAGAGTGGAGCTGTACAGCTGGCGAGCAGAGAGGTACAACCAGCACCCCATCTCACCTCCTGTGTGAGCAAGGCTTTGGGAAACCAACAGCAGTCACTGCTCTGGAACTAGCTGTATGCTAAAAACAGAAGGCCACTAAAATTCCCTCACCTTGAAGACCAGTGGGGTTAGGAAATCGTCTGGAATTACGATAACAGGTTGAATGTTCCAGATGTATTTGCATTTTCCTCAGTGTTTTCACTTAACCGAGTACTTCAGTTGGCAGAGACCTACAATGATTTGGTCCAACTGCCTGACCACTTCAGGAGTCATTTTCCTTTAAGTGCTTACATACCTTTAGAACATTTGTCCCATTCCAATTTCTAAGGTTTTATGCAGGTAAATCAGAAGTATGAGTCTGTACATTACCACAGGCCTTATTCACTTGAGTTCAGCAGAAAGGGCAGCAGGTGGAAATAACCTTCTAATGACTTAGGTTATTATTTTCCTGTAAGATTGCTAGAGGAAAGCAGCTGTAAAGAAAACAGAAACCGCATTCAGTGAGGACCAGTAATTTTATTTAGATCTATTTCATGCGTAAGCATGATAAAACCCCAATTGAACTTTGGCAAGTATCACAACAGAAATAACCAAGCAGCCTATACAGAACAGTGAAAATGCCAAGGATATGGGTTCTCCACAGCTTCACTGCAGAGCAGAGGGATTTAGAAGCCTCACTTTGGCTACATCATTTATTAACCATATAATTAAATAAAGGTAGTCTTCCACTATCACTTCTTGACTTCTCCGAGATCTTCAATGCTATCATCATCCACCTAAGGAAAAAAAAAAGGCCAAAACTCAGCATATTAAGTCTATTATCTTCTTAGATGTCTCACTTCAATATTCACCACTGTACATGTAATGAAGTGTGGGAGAAGCATACAGCACCACCCAAGATTCCCTGCTGTAAACTCTACATGAGTGACATACTGAGCCTCTGGAACTCTGAATAAGGACAGGTCTAAAGAGTTATTTCAGAAAGAACTCCTCCACTCAGGAAACAGCACAAGGGAGGGTCAAAGCACACACTTGTGATGGCAGCAGCACAACCAAACGTCTTAACCATCAACATTTTAGTCCAACCCCAAATGAATGTCTCCTGCTGAGGCAAAAGTGTGTGGGGGTTTGTTTGGTTGGTTTAATTCTGGACTATTTTAAGAGACTTTTAAAAATAGGGTGGCAATGTAAGAATACTCAGGCATTGACCATTTAGAAACAGTCACAAAGAAGCCACAGATATCTGACAGCTGGACTTACCCTGACATGCCTTTCTCAGTGTCCTATCTACAGTAACAGCACTATATGTGTAAGGATCTGCTGTTCCTTGCACGAAGGAAACAACATTTGACTTCAAGTTTAATCACTCCTTAACCTAACAATTCACAGGTGGGAAGGCAACAACTGCTCTTTGAATTATGCACACTGATCTGTGCTGCTAAAGAATAAACCCTTTTTCAACATCATTGGAAAGGCACAGGCTATTGTGGAAAACTGGAGTTCTGACAGAAGAAAGGGTTTGTTACCTCAGGCCACTTCTCCTGGATTACATCAATAATGTCATCTGTAAAATCGCCCTGAATGATGATCTCGTCTTCTCCTGTTACTGAGGCACCGCAGGAAAATTTCTGAGCAAAAAACCTTTGTGCTTCCTTAAGATCAATTTCTGTTGATGGGAAAATGGGCAGTTTCAGTACAGTCATTGCCATAAAGGTATTTTTCTCAAGTTTAAAACCAAAACCTTAACTGTTTAAAAACCAGTGGCAATTTACAGCCAAAGCTTTCCTACAGTTTCCACTGAAAGCTAAAGTCTGTTGTTGACATACAAGCAACTGACTCCACAAATCTAGTAAACTATTCAAGGTAAAAATCACTGAATGTCCTCTGCTGAGGCAGGTCAAGGCTGTGTGCGCTCTCTAGAAAAGCAAAGAACTGTTTAGAAAGCACCTCCAGTTCTGAGTGACCTCATAATTATTGAACAAGTTTTTCCCCAGAAGTGCTTCAGTATGTTCTTCTCAGAAACACACCCCAGTGATTTCTGAGACTGGTTTCCAAGTACAAAGATTCATTCCCAGTTCACACCAAGCCAGTGTGTGTTACTGATCCCTCAAGAAAATCGATTGCTACTCTCATGCAGGAAATACGCAACGTGTCTTCTTAATACAACCAAGGTTAAAACCTACCTTTTTAACAGAATTTGTGATCAAAGTGTGAAGTAAGATGCTGTTATAAAACCAAGTGGCTGTTGGGTTAAACATCAAAATGTGCTAAAACCCCCACAAGCCTATTTGTTTGAAAATACCATGGAAATATGGACATTAATAATTTATCCCTAAGAAAAGTCACTGCACGTTTAGAACTGTTAAAAGTACCCTGGGACTCAGGTGGAAGTGGATCACCCAATGTAATACAACCAGAAGAAATACCATGATGATGTTAATGGCAAGCACATCTAAATCCAACTGATATCACGTTGCAGAAGTCAACTCACCAAACGTTGCAAGGCCACATACTCTTGTGACATATTTTTTCTTTGCTCTAGGAATTTTAGCTATCGTAACTTTCTGTGGTACAGTCTTCTTCTTCTGTTTTATCTGACCCCTTCCACCTTTAAAACAGAGTATAAGGTTACATGATGTCATACTTCATTAAAGAGCATGTAAGATGAGATGTCACCCCTATAAACAAAGACACCATTCTCTCACATCTGTGTTGGTAAACAAAAATACATTTTGCACATTGTCTCACATTAAGGTTTTTTAATTATTATCTAGGAAAGGTCCCATATAACAATAAATGCATGTCAAATGTGTGTTCAAGTACAGCTTGCACAGCAGAACCCCACTGCAATTACTGAAAGAGGGGTTTTCCCTGCACTTTGCTAATCTTTGCATTTGGTCTACATTTAACCCCTCTTCAGGAATAATTCTTTGGTTGTAATCCAAGGAAGAAATTGTTACTTTAATGTTTTTCATGAGTTTAACATCCCTAGGGTTTTGTGTCCAAGGCAAAGCAATTTACACATGCCCACCTACATGAGGATGTGCTTGCTAAGGCCACTGGGTTAAACAGCAGATACCCGTGCAGGATTCCAGCATGAGCCATGTATCTATATGAGAGCTACCACAAAACACCCTGCCTCTGAAACAGAAGCCAGCTACAGTAGTTGACTGCCAAAATGCCACACGATTTAGTAGCTTTCTTACTGTCTGTGTGTAGGCCAACCTAAGCGAACACTTCACGTTATCAGGTGCTTATTAGTCTGAGTAAAGCATGCAAAAGTTCTATTCCACTCATTAAGATTCTTAAATCAGATTAAGATCTCTTAACTGTGTATACACTCATCAAGTTACTTCAGGGTAACCAGAGTTTCATGTCCTTGAGCCTTCTCAGCACAAAAACATAAAGAATTTATGACAAGCAAACTAACCCCTTGTGACCAGTTCTTTTTCTAACATACAGCACTTTCAACTCCACATTACTATAAAATGATATAATTTAAGACAGTAAATTTCTGTCTTAAAATGTCTTCAGCAAATTTCTGCAGTGTCTTAATTAAGTTTTTGCTTGTTTCTCCTCACCCTCTCTCTTACAGTCAATTTTATACCACTGTAGTTAGCACCAAAGCATAAATTTTCATTAAACTTTTCATCCTAGGAGAAAAATCCCTAAATATTTTAAACACTATTAGTTTAGAACCAAAAGCCAGACAGAAGTCTAACCATACCGCCTCACCCACTAAATTAATGGGAAATAAAATGTCCTGAAGTCTCCAGGAAAAGCATCCAAGTTACAGAATGTAAATCACTGTTGTTACCCCACATAGCTTACTGACAAAATAAACACAACTGGTTACCAAGCCACCAAAATAAAACATCTGCAGTGAGATGTGGCTTAAAATCTGAACTTCACTGGGCTATTAACCATAATTTATGAAGCACTACAGACACAACTGGCACTCCACAGATAAATGCATATTAACAACCTCAACATTTGGATTTAGAGTGGAAAGTATGTTAATTAATTAAACAGAAAGAACTCCAATGATAAAAGATAAATGTGTTTAGATTATTTCATATGTATCTTCCAAATTTGTTTTTTGAAGATGTTTTTCATTAGTATTGCTAGGAAGAGACACAGCTGTTAACAAAGTCATAGGTGGTAGTATTAAAAGCATAAAACCAAATCCTGTTACTTGAACACAGAGGAGGGGTGGATGTTAGAAAGGCAAAAGCAGTGTCATGAGGCATGAACAGAGGAAAGCAATCTTTGTTCTACTCTGCCAGGAACCTATAAACGGTTGTTAAACGGGCAGAAACAACTATTCTGGGAAGCTTGCCAGCTGATTCTAGGTTGAGAAGAATTGCTCCCTGAGCAAGTGCAACAGAACAATAAGACACATGATGCAAGTCATCTTTCACTTGCTATTACTCCTATCCACTTCTTCCATCAGCATCTATCACTGCAATAACTCTGTTATCACTGGAAGAAAAATACTTGGTGTCTTCTGTGTAAAGTCAAAGCACAGCTAACAACCAAAACACAGGGAATCTGTGCCAGAGTCCACACCAGGGGGTGAGAAAGGGATGCCCCAAACTGCTTATGAATCAGTACCGCAATCAACTATTTAGACCTTGCCTCTCTTTTGCTTCTTCTTCTCTTCTTCTTCCCCCGCAGTTCCTTGGCCTTCTCCAACCCCAGCTTCCTGCTTAGGGGAATTTTCTGAAATACATCAGAAAGGAGCAGGGAGAAGAAAGAGAACAAAGGCAGGGGTCAGACCACCACAGCCTTACAGAACAGGTACAGTGATATTTTGTGCAGCAGCCCCCTGACTGGTGTGTGTTACATCTTTATTACAGTACTCATGCAAATCAGACTTCAGAAAAGCCTTAGCTCAAAGGTACAGTTACAGCTTCAATACAGTCTCTTCACATCATTCCAACAGAGATACAGAAATTATTTACAGTTAATACTGAAATTCCAAATGCAAATCTGCAAGTTCCCTCTTATTAATGACTTTCCTCCAGCCATCCACAGACACTGCACAGACATAAAACTCTGATGGGAAACAACTGCATGGCTGACTGGTTACAGGAGGAACCTTAAGAAAGCTCAAACATTACTACTGAAATTGCACACTGTTTACTCAGTGTTTTCTGACATTATCAAACAGGTTTTCACAGCATCCAAAAGCATGGTAGGCTCTTAAGAAAATTATTAACTTTCATACTTGATACAGTGGGAAAAGGAAAAAGATGAGAATTGCCCAGAGATTTCTCAATACATCTGAGGGTACAGATCAGTCAGAAAACAGAAGATTCTTACCTACTGTGAGTTTTGCAAACTCATCTGGAAAATTCTTTTCTAACCATTGTCTGCATTTAGTCACATCGGGCATGTATTCGCAGTACTGGAGAAGAAAGTTCACATGAATGTTGCTACCAGAATAACTACAAAATACATCACAAATACAGCACAGTATGCTGGCTATTCAGCTCAGCCATTCCTCCTTAAGATGACTAAATACAAACACTTCACTAGCACACAGGAAACCTCACGTCATGCTAAAGATGACAGGGGTGAAGCACAGAACTGCCACACTTCAGAAAAAGCAGAAAAGATCAGAAAGAATCCTCATTCTCAGAAATCATAAGACACAGAGAAGAAACTTGGACAACAATAACATTAACTCACCTCTGTTGGCAATGAACAGACTGGAGAAAGAAGGGAGAAAAAAATAGATTACAAAAATAACTTCTCCATTCAGTGTTAAATTCAAAAAGGCATTTTAAAGTTAGGGGTGACTTCTTATAACTTATGGTTATAACCAGACATTGACTCAGTAGTACTTTACAGGAGGTGCCTACAGCTTTGGGAAAGGCTACAGAAAGAAACACCAGTTCTACCTGGCAAAACATATTCCCAGTAAATTACCATGTGATTTGATTGGCTTTCCTTATACCAAGAGCTGTCAGTGTCCAGAAGAGGGATTTGGCCCCAGCACAAACCCAGTCCAACCCTCCCGACTTTCAAGCAGCACAGGGATTCTTTCCTAACCCCCTGCAACTGCATTCAAGCCCAAAGGAACATAACATCCTTATCTAAAAACCATACTTTCATCCACATAACTACAAATATAATGAGTAAAGAATAATTCTAAACACAGTGCAGCAATTACTTTCATGAACTCTTAACTTTATTGCTTACTGTCCTACTAATGCTTAAAGGTGTTTTCTGTGCTAAAGGCTTTACTGGCTTTCTGCAGGAAGAGATCTCTGTTCAACAGGTCACAATCTGAGCACAACTCACACTTCTTTTATGCATAGAAAGCTGCTTGTAACCTCCATCTCTCAGACCCCAGAACTGCTGAAAGACAGTCAGAAAGCTCAAGCCAACCATGGTCTGGCTTCTCAATAAAAGCTGACCAAGAGAGGATCTCTGATGCTCTCACTGTTTCTACTAGGCTGCCCTCACAAACAGCACATTGTCAGAATCACAGACAACTGATCCTTGAGCACTTGCCTCCGCAGTAGAGAACCCGAAGGGGGTAGTCGCCATCTGACCTGGCACCGCTCCTTATGTCTCCTCTGCAGTCAGGGACCACAGGCTCAGCTACATCCGTGGCCATGGCACACGCCTGGAGGTCACAAACCAAATAAAGCAGGACCTAAGTTCTGGGTTAGAGTTATTCACATCTTTCCCAGATTAAGAAGAACCCCAGAGACTGACAGGTCCCAGAGAAAACAAGTACAATACTAAGAGGAGCAGAAATCAGGGAGGAAAAAACAGGAGTCAAGACATAATAAAAAAATACGTGGGAAAAGGCTGCAAAAGATAACAAACAGCATGGAATTTTAGCACATAAGGGGGGGGGAAACCCAAAGCGCCACAAAAGTGTGAAATTTAGAAAGATCTGCGAGAACACCACATGGAATTACAGAACACACTGAGTTAAGATGTGAAGTATCACGTTAAATCAGTGGTATATAAACAGCAGGGACTCTGGGGGAGGGGGGAAGGTACTGCCAGTACAGTGGCAAAGAACAGGGGTCATTTAAACCTGTACCTGAAGAGTTACAATCTAATCCTAGGACAGGTTTGGGCAAAGAAAAACCCCAACACCACAAAACATGCGAACGAAACTCAACCAACTGGTATATTTAATAGTGGTTTGCATGCACACTTTTACAGGCAAGGGGTTTAGAAGATGAGGGCCAACAGGAGAGGGGTTTGCAATGTGCAACTGCCCCAGGATCACTGGGAGCAGGCAGGATATATGTGTGGAAGCCTCGGAGCCAAGCTGTCGCGCAAGCTGTGCCTGGGTTTTGAAGAGAGCTATGGGGAAATAGCTGGGATAGGTGGGATAGGGAGGCCACAGGGAAAGGCAACAGACGGTCGTAATGAGGGGAAAGATGCTGGGAGGACCCATGGAGATTCCAAATGAGGGACGAAGGGGATAAAAGTGAGGGGAGGTCGGGGAGAAGGGTGCTGGTGTGCCAGACAAATGGGATCACAGACATGGTGAGGTGGGGGCAGAGCTGAGGGAACGGAGGACGCTGAGGTACCAGAGACGAAGGGGATCACAGGGAGGGCGGGCAGAGCCGCAGCACCGGGGAACAGGGAGGGTGCGGAGCGGAGGGAAGGATGCTGGCAGCCGGCGGGGAAAGGCCGCTCGGCACCGGGACGAAGGGGAGGGAAGCCCCGGGGCAGCGGCGGCGGCGTTACCCGGGAGGCCCCTCAGGCCGCGGCGGCGGCGGCTGCTCCTCCTCGTCCTCCTCCGGTGGGTCCCACACCCCGCGCCGCACGTGCGCCCTCCACAGCGCCGCCGCCGTCTCGCGAGAGCGACGGGGCGTGGCTTGAGCCCGCCGGCTCGCCGTAGGGGGGCGGGGCCGCCCCGGTCCCAAGCGGTACGGGATCGCGCGAGCTACGGCGCGCTGGAGCGGACATTTGCCGCCGCCGCGGCTCGCCCACTGCTGCCGCCGCCATGCCCCGGTACGCGCAGCTGGTGATGGGCCCGGCGGGCAGCGGGAAGGTGAGCGGGGGACGGGCGGCTGCGGGGAGGTGATAGCGGCGCGGTCGGTCCGTGACAGCGGTTGTGTACCTTGCAGAGCACGTACTGCTCCACCATGGTGCAGCACTGCGAGGCGCTGGGCCGCGCCGTGCAGGTGGTGAACCTGGACCCGGCGGCGGAGCTCTTCAGCTACCCGGTCACGGCAGGTAGGGAGCGCGGACGGAGGCGGCGGGAGGCCGGTACCGGGCACCGCGGCGAGCGAACGAGCTGAGTCCGCCGTGCGTGCGTGTTGTTGTAGACATCCGCGAGTTAATAGAGGTGGATGATGTGATGGAGGATGATTCCCTACGGTTCGGACCCAACGGCGGCCTCGTGTTCTGCATGGAATACTTCGCCAATAACTTCAACTGGCTGGAGGAAAGCCTCGGGCACGTGGAGGATGACTATGTGCTGTTTGACTGCCCAGGTAAGCAGGCATCAGCGTTCTGGTGTCCTTCATATGCACTACTACAGTGTAGTACTGTTCCTCCTGGCTTCACATCCCTGCGTACCTGATGTTCTGCATGTGCTCCAGGTCAGATCGAGCTCTACACACATCTGCCAGTGATGAAACAGCTGGTGGAGCAGCTCCAGCAATGGGAATTCCGTGTCTGTGGAGTTTTTCTGGTGGATTCTCAATTTATGGTGGAATCTTTTAAGGTATCCGTTTGAAATCCGTTGTAAAAGTTCATATTGAGAATGAACAAAGAATCTGAGTAATTTCAGAATGGAGTTTGTTTAGTCCAGAGGGAAGAATGCTAAGCTGGGGGAGATGTGATTGCTTTCTTCAGTTACCTCAGACACAGGTCACAACAAAGAAAATTCCAGTTGGATGTAAAGCAAATCTGTGCTATGAGAATGGTCAGTCTGGAACAGAGCACGGAGGGACTGTGTAGTGAATGTTCATGGAGCTACTCAAGCCTTGACCACGCAAAACCCCTGAGCAACCTGATCTGACTTGGAAGTTGCCTCTGCTTTTAGCTGTATGAACAAAATAGCCTCTAGAAGTCCCAACCAAAATTCTCCTGTCGTTCCATGAGAGCTTCCTCATATCTGGAGGGAGAACAGCCTGCTTTCCCATCTAGCAGTGAGAATCCAGAGGTGGGCTTTGGGTTTTCTTTAATGCCCTTTTTAGTAGCAGATCCAGATTTGATGGCAGATGGGATACTCAGCACCTCCCTTTCCCAGCAGAGAATAATTCCTCACATGGCTTGCATCCAAGTTTCATGTATTCATTAGCTAGACTTGGTCTGTGGTTGAGTGTCTGTGTATTGGTGGTGTGTTTTTCTGTGCTTAACTACATCATTTCTGTACTCCTTCAGTTTATCTCTGGAATTCTGGCAGCTCTCAGTGCAATGATATCTTTAGAGATTCCACAGATTAACATTATGACCAAAATGGATTTGCTGAGCAAGAAAGCCAAAAAGGAAATAGAAAAGTAAGTTCCAAAAAACTACTTTTATCGTGTAATATGAGGAGGCAAGCTCCATTGAAAATTCAGTCTCATTCTTCCCACAGTTAAAACATACTCTTTTGGAATGGGAGATGCCCTGCCCGTGGCAGGGGGGTTGAAACTAGATGATCTTAAGGTCTTTTTTAACCCTAACTATTCTATGATTCTATGATGCATTTGTTTGATATCAAACATAGGCTTTAAATGTCTGGGTAGGATGCTTACAGTTTATCAGAATCAAAAAGCTAGCCCCATGTTTGTACTTATCTCTGGATTTTTCTGTAACTAATTATCTTGAATAACTTATTTCGAATCACATTGCAGGCTGCTGTACTTCGAAACCTAAACCAGAGCTGATCATATCAGGGTTTTGATACTGACTATACTGAATTACTTATGTGTTATTTTACATTTGTGAGATATTCAGATACCTACAGAAACTGTTTTTAAACATTTTAAGTTCTGATCGCAAATGTTTTTGGCAGCTATATAAAAGCACAATGACTCATTTGCTCTGTGGCCAAGGATTATCCCCATGTTAACAATGACTTTGTTTCTCCCAGGTACTTGGATCCAGATATGTATTCTATGATTGAAGATTCTACAAATATGTTGAAAAGCAAAATGTTTAAAAAGCTGACTAAATCCATATGTGGATTGGTGGGTATATTGCTTTTTAACTGGTACCTTTAAATTCAGTCCTGTATATATAAACCATACTGTGTGGTTGCTGACTTCATTGCTGTTACTGATACTGTATGTTCTGTAATCATTCTCCCCGCCCCAAAAATATGTATTTACCTACCAGACTGTTACAAAGACAGGATTGGAAACACTCTCAGGCACTTGAGGATTTTACTTTTTGCCTATTTTAACTCATTATTTTTTTCAGATTATATTATTAGATTTTTCAGACAAGGAAGATCTAAGTGTGATTTAAGGAGGTAGCTTAGAGTACTGCGAGTGAGAACTCGCTGCATTTTCTTACTAACATCCTTTGAATCCCTTCTCTAGATTGATGACTATGGTATGGTTCGATTTCTCCCTTTTGATCGCTCTGATGAGGAAAGCATAAACATAGTCCTGCAGCACATAGACTTTACCATTCAGTACGGAGAAGATCTTGAATTTAAAGAACCAAAGGTAAAGTACTTCTGATGAGAAGGTGATATTATGGGTCCTTAAAAAGAATCCATAATATAAGTTGTTATACACTTATTAGTATTGTCTTTTAAGCTTGAAAGGTCAGAAGGGACCGTTAAGATCACTAAGGTTTCTTAGGTGCAGCAGCCATGAGGGGAAAAGTCAGGTTTTACCTTTTCTGGTTTTTTTTTTGGCAGGAATGTGAAGAAGATAAATCTGCTCTTGTGGATGAATACTTTCAAGATCATGTGGATGAGTAAAAACTGAATGTTCAAATATGGGAGGAGAAAATACCTTGTTTGTGTTAAAAAGTGAAAAAGAAAATCCACTCCTACACAAACATACGCAATGTTTTATCTGTAAGATAACTACTATTTATAATGAAGAGTGAGTTATATGCCCTTGTAACTATTTTAATAAATAATTTTTATTCTTATGTGTGTGTGTGTTATAAAACGCATGGGCTATACAAGGTCCTCACATATTGATGTATCTCATTTAAGCATAGGAATGCTTGAAAACAATCTTAATTATCTGCAAAAGGGGTAATACTGAATATCAGTAGGTTGTAATAAATAGTACTGGAGATAAGCAAGTAGTTAGTTTCATTACAATGAGAGAAAGAATTGTACTTGGTAACTGAACCTGAGTTAGGCAAAGAGCTGACTGGCAGCTTCAGAGGGGCATCTGGTAAATAGTTGTCTCCCAGCCTCTTGAGGAAGATGAGTGTTTTACATTCACTTTGGAAAAGCCCAGATTTTAAGCTTTCTTAAGGCTGTTTTCTTTATAACTTACGCATGGCTTTAAGTGGTTTATACATCAATAACAGCCTAAGCACAGTGCAACACTTGAAACAAGAACTTGGTGATGGTCTTGTGCAGTCATGTTAACTAGCACAATTGTAACAGAGTTCAGCAACAAATATTCTAAACTGTGAAATGCTTAACATCAGTGAATGTCATCCATATATAGTCCATGTATTAGAAATTAACCCCATCCTCACAAGATATCCACAGCCAAGTATTTCACTAGAATAACTGGTGTCATTTTGTAGGAACAGTCCACAGATGTCTGAGAGCAAGGACACCCCTTAACGGAAACCAAATCAGGGATTAAATACTTGAAGACAACTTCACTTACCTAAGCCTGGGCTGTGATGGTGACTTGGTACAGAGTTTAGTTCTGTAGTTTCTTGCTTGTAGTCCAGAAGGTGTAATTTTTCTTCTTACTCATCAGTAGGGTTGTTCTTTATGTCTAAGTAAATGATTAAATGGTTATGCTGCTATGGTGTTTATTTTTGAAATAAGCATCTGCACAGTCAAAACAGGAAGGGAGGTTCAACAGATCAGCAAATGCTGCATATCTAGAGAAAAGAGCTTCCCTGCATCCTTATGTGGAGGTCACGGATGATTGTATGAAGTCTTTTAAATGGGAACAACGCAAAACTGTGAAATAAGATGTCACCTAAGAGCTATTAAAATTGTCTTTAAAAGCCAGGTTTGCAAAAATTGCCAGCCTTGTGATACTTGGCATTTCTAAAGCCTTACTCCCAGCACAATTAGTGAACACTGAGAGTTCAGTTTCAAGATAGCCATTGCAGTCACCAGGAAGAGCTGTGTAAAAAACATCAGCTCTTCAGAGGCTCATCACATTACTCATGGCAGGATCAGATTTGGCTGAATTAAACGATGCAAACGTTGGGAAACCTTTGGTGGCTTCCCTCACCTCCAGACTGGTGCTTCTTCAGGACAAGTGATGCCTGTGACACGTCAAAAGGACAAACCCCAGCCCTGCAGTTAGATTACCTTGATGCACTTCCAAATCTCCCACGTTTTTCTTCCTGAATCATGCCATGAGTCATTTACCGGGGACAAATTCAACATACTGGGTCATATGGGATGGTATGGCTTGATAGTAACAGGAGCGTGCACCTTAAAATACTGCATCCCACCAAACGCAATGTGTTTGGCCCCACTCTGTACTTCTTTACACCGAGTGCCCAGCAGCTGGCTGTGGCTGCTGCATATTAGGGCAGAGCACGCAATGCCCAGGAGTGCTGCAAATGCACAGGAAAGAAAACCAGTTGCAAGCAAAGCATCCTCTCCTGCACTCTTGTCAAGCACTGACCCTTGCCGGGGACAGGAGCTCACCTCTTCCAGCAAGGAAGGAATATGCTAGGGTGGCTGGAGAAAAAAAAGCGTGGCATGGGGAACGATAAGGAGGGGTTACTTGCAGTGCTGGCCACAGCAAAGGCTAAGGAAGGGGGAAATTCCATGGAGAACGAAAAAACAACCAAGTCCCCCTCTGGTTGCGCTTCCGAGCACCTTCGCCGTGCTTGCAAAGCTCTCACAGGAGCGGTGCCTCTCGGGGCGGTGCACGCCGCAGGCCTCTGCTCCGGCTTCCCCTCCTCGCACCGCCTCTGCTGCCTCATTTCCTGCAGCGCAGGCAGAGGAGGAAGCTTTCCTGCCAGCTCCTCTCTGCTTTTCCCCTTGCCCGGCCCCGCTGACCTGCGTCCTGCCCTTCGAGATGCCGGTGAGGGGGCTTCGCACCCGGCCCTTAACCTGCCCGTGGCGGCGGGGAGAGGGGAGGGCAGCGGCCAGGGCGGTGGGGCCGGGCCGGGGGGTGGGGGGGTGAGAACGCTCCCCCCAGGGCTGGGACAGGGGCTCTGCCGGCCTTGGGCAGCTGCTAGGGTACCAAAGGGGCTATAAGGAATCCCAGTGAAAGAGGGGAATTGCTGCTTATGGGAGGCTGCTGCAAGGGCGACGCCCTCTTCCTCCTCCTCTTCCTCCTATTGCCAGGGATCCCCCGGTTGCAGCCAGGAAGAGGGTGGCAAAAGCAGCGCTGTGCTCTGGTGTTGTTCACACCCTTCTTTCTGCTAGGGGATGCTGCTTTCACACACACGCCCCTGGCTGCATCCCCTTCTCCCCACACAAAACACAGGCTGTGAGGAGGTGAAGGCTTCTCGGTGGGAATGCTTGGAAAGTGCCCAAAGCTGGACTCATCAGTGGTTAAAAATCGGTTTTCCAGCGAGAATCTGTCACATGCAGAAAGGGTTTTGTCTTTTTTTTTTTTTCCACTTAAACCAGTTTTACAGTGCACAGAAGGGTCTGGTTTTTGGCTGTGTGGGTACGTGTTAAGCCTCACTTTATTTATTATTATCTAATATTATTAGCTAGACATGCAAATAAAATACAGTCATATTTAATGGCCAACTAACTTTCAATGAACTATGCATGGCCCCATAACTGAGGCAGGAGAACAGGGCTGCTGCTCCCTTAGTGCTGTGCAGAATGGGGTCTGGCAGCCTCCTCGTACCTGTTTTATCCTGTCTCACTCCACTGTGATCAGAAGTGGTGCCAGTGATGATGCTTCCGTGGTCTTCACCAGAATGGTACTGAGATCTGAGCGAGAGAAAACAGACGTTGTTTGTGCAAGGAAAAATTACTGGAAGCATCACCAACAAACTAGACTCACTCCTGTTTGATGAAGACACGGGATACACATGATCAGACATGGAAATGTCTATTTTCAGCAGTGTTAATAACCATCTGTTCCTGCCATCTCTAGGCTTACCACTCCACTTTAATGGACTCGGACACCAAGTTAGTTGGGAACATGGCACTGTTACCCATCAGAAGCCAGTTCAAAGGCCCAGCACCTCGGGAAAGTAAGTTTATAATAACCTCTGAAATCACTGCCTGTATATAACTTATCATCATCTCTCAGTTTGCTCCAAGCCAGCACTAGCAGGGATGGAGAGAGGATCCATGGGTTGATTGGAAATGGAGTGCTATTTCTAGTTTATATTTCTACAAACTGCACTTTATAGAGAAGGAAGAAAAGTTTTCAAATACTTAAGTTGCTCAAATCATAGAAAACAGTTACACACAGAGAAATACGCTCCAGCTAAATCAATTGCTTCAGTAAAGCCTACGGTTACTATTCTTGTGCTTCCTCTTGTGCTCATCAGTAAGTTTTGAGGAGGACGTGGTAGTGTGAACCGTCTGCTGTCAGAGGAAGTGGAGGTTTAGCTACAGAGAACTTGGGCTTTGGGTCTGGGGCTGAAGACACTCGGCTGCTCTGAAGGGCAAGAGTAGGTTAGGCAGCACTTTAGGGTAAAATTGAGATGAAGTTACAGGCATCCCAACAGGGTCCAAAGGCAGCCTGGTCAGGATTCCCCTTCAGCACATTAAGTAGCTATTCCCCATTAATGTGGTGGTTCAATTTGGGAAAGGAAATATAAAGGAAATACTGAATTTAAGCAGTTGGTGGTTGGCATCCAGAACTGTGTTCTGCTCCTCACCTTTAGTTTTGAAAAGGACAATGAAATTTATGTGATCTTTATCTAAAACCATTTTTGTGTCCTGGCAAGACTTTTATGCTGTTAAAGCTCTGGTGAGTTATTCAACTGGTAGAAAAGTGGGGAGCTGCTGAAACACTGCCATTTGTGAAGTGAGAAATCATAGCAGGGGGTGGGGGGGAGAAGAAAGGAGTTCAAACTCCTGCTAAGACAAGGAACCTTAAGTGTTAACAGTCTGAGCTCCCTGGTGTTTCACACAGCAACAACTGCTTTCTGGCTTCTGCTTTTTGTGAATACCAAGGTTTTGCTTTTGCAATAATCCTTATTTATGTATTTCAGTGAGTAAAAGTTATGACCAAATGTACTGTAACGGTGCATTGTTTAACTCTGTATTTCTTTTTGCTAGCTAAGGACACAGATATTATAGATGAAGCCATCTACTACTTCAAAGCTAACGTTTTCTTCAAAAATTATGAAATTAAGGTAATTCTTAAACACACTTTGCATATGGATGTTCTTTGGTGGGTTGGTGCTGTGAATATTTTTATTTTCAATGAAATAGTTCTATTAGATAACAATAAATTCCCTTCCTCCCACTTAATTAAAGCTGGGTAAATGCCATGAATTGCATTTCCCTCTCATGGGGAAATTGTAGGCCAGAATGGCTTAAACTCATTCCTGTTGCTTGCTCTTGCTCTGCAGAACGAGGCTGATAGAACACTGATCTATGTAACCCTCTACATTTCTGAGTGCTTGAAAAAGCTGCAAAAGGTAAGAAAAGTGAATTTCTGTGCAGGAGGAAAACTGAGTCTGTTCTGGGGACACATGGGAAAGGATTTGCTGATATTCTCTTCCCAGTGGCACAAATAATCCTGTTGACCCCACTCCCTATTGTCAAAGCCACTGATTCTCCAAGTCTGTGGATCTCCAAAGAAACATTGTGTTCTTCCTGATGAGTTTTTATGTGTTACAGGTAAAACAGACAGTGCTATCACTACATCAGCTGTTGTTTGTAACTGTTAATCCATTGTGTGCCTGGTTCTTCCAGTGTAACTCCAAAGGCCAAGGAGAGAAAGAGATGTACACACTGGGAATCACTAACTTCCCAATCCCCGGGGAACCTGGCTTTCCACTTAATGCCATTTACGCCAAACCTGCCAACAAGCAGGAGGAAGGTAAGGCTAATCCAGCATCCCCAAAGGCTTCCTTGGGCTCTTACTTTACCAGCTGCATTTTTGTGACTGAAATAAGAAATACTACTGTTAAAACTGCATGTTCTAAATCTGCAGTTCTTACGAGGGGAGCAGAGCTATTTTCTGACCTGAGGGGGGCAGTGGTTTCCCTGGATCCATAGATCTGACAGAACAAATAGGGATCTGAGTCTGCCTTTTGCATCAGCATTAATCATTAGATAAACCCTGTAATGGAGGCCAAGTCAACTGCTGCACCAGCAGAATAGGAAGCCCACAATGAGCAAAGGTAACTGAGAGAAGAAAACAGTTTGTATGATCCTTAAAATAGAAATAACATAAAAATTCCAGGTATGGGTGTAAATTGAGCAAACCAACTCAGCCAGCTGATGAGTGATGTGAAAACTCACTTCCTGCTGTAAGCAGTGATAGCTGTTTCTCTGTTCAGTTCAGTCTGATTCAGTGCTGCCTCAGTTTCCACTGTTTTTTCCTGTGCTGTGTTTCAGAGGTGATGAGGGCCTACCTGCAGCAGCTGAGGCAAGAAACTGGTCTTCGCCTTTGTGAGAAAGTATTTGATCCTCAGAGTGACAAGCCCAGTAAGGTAAGAGTTTAATGTGATCATCACAGATCTAATGAGAGGTTTGCTGTGGAGAGAAGTGAGATCATGGGGGAGGGATCAGGTGTGGATAACTTTGGCACAAGCTTCCCGGCTTTTACAAGGTTAGTGAAATAGCAGGCTGCAAGTTATCAATGAGTGTAATCTGTAATGCAGCAAGACACTGAATGCCAATTTGGATTACTTTAAAAAGGAGGCTGTAATAAGTGGTGTCTGGTTTGACTCTTCAAAGTATTGCACATCTGCTCTTGGCGAGGTTTTCAAATGGAAATCCACAGGCAGGAATGATGCTGTTCATCTTCCAGGCAGTGCTGATTTGAAAGCTTCTTTGAAGCAGACTCTTTTGTCTTATATCCAGATTAAAAACAAATAGCTAATCAATGAATGTCCTCTTGACTGTTCATACGTTTCATGTGCAAATGTGACTGCATTTAGTATTGAAATTATTTGGGCTAATTTAGTTTCAAAGGCATAGCTTTCTGATGCATCCCTTCATAATTATATTGGAATAGACAGCAAAATTAAAATAATAGAAATAAGCTAAAGTAGAATGTCCTGCTTTAATTCAGAGCCCTATATTATATAATATATATTCTATAGGTATTATATGTTATAGATATTACAGATTTCTATATATAATATTCTATATTATTGAATCATAGAATGGTTTGGGTTGGAAGGGACCTTAATGGTAATCTAGTTCCAACTCCCTGCATTACAAATTCATTGAGTCTATTCCTGTTCTCTCATTCACCTGAATTCCAGTAGAAACCAGTGTAGAAAACTGTATGTGCAAAATTGGAGCCTTAACATTTGTTGCTTGGCAGAGGTTGAATACTTTTATATCACCTGGGAAGCACTTTTGGGTATTGCCTGACTTTGTGCTTCCTTCTGCAGTGGTGGATCTGCTTTGTGAAGAGACAGTTCATGAACAAGAGTCTGTCAGGTCCTGGGCAGTGAAGAGGCAAAGTATCAACAACATTAAACATTGTCACAGCAAGGTGTTTAGGTATTTTGCCTTTGTTTTGGATACATTTTGTACCAAGGAAGAATTAAGTGCTTATGAAGAAAAAAAGAAAAACAAAACCCCACCACAAACCAGTCAATGAGGGATTAAAGGGAACAAAAAGATAACAAGTAATGTAAGCAGATATTAAGCTGGTGCTTAATAAGTGATTTCTAACATGCTGTTTCAGATCCAAGCTGCTTCATTATCAGTGACTGCAGCTGGCATTTAAAATGGGGCTTGTATTTAATAGAAGAAATGGGTTTGCCTGTGGGGTAGGGGGAGCTGTGGGATTGCTCTACTGGCTAGAGTCTCAGTACTGTATGTCCATGGAAAACACGCCTCTCACGCTGTGTTGTCGAGTGCAGTGGTTTTTACCTTGTTTTCAATAAACTTGGCTTGTAATTAATGTGGTAACTGCTTTAAGTCTTACGGATGGCCTTTGACGAAACAGAGGTGGGTGTTTTTGGTGAAAAGACCATCATTACTGTGTAATGCTAGTCAGTCGGAGTGAATCATTCCCACTGAAAACGGGGGGTTAATACAGGGGCTGTAGTTTGTGGCAACATACCTGGTTATTTAGCAGGTCTGCCTTCGCAGGGCAGTGCTCCTTGGTACTAAAATGCCTTCAAAGGGTAACACATCCAAGCTTGGTTTATTCAGAGTTGGCTCTTTCCTTTGTGGCAATAGGTGTTCCACTGTCACCATACAGCACCAACACGCTTCTGCCACTTGCACTAGGCCTGTTTTACCACTTGGCATGTTGACCTGTTGAGAGGTCAGACAGCACTGACAGCATGTTCAAACTGAAAGCTCCCACTGATTTGATTTGCTGTAGCAGTTACATATATAATGTAGCCATATTTTACATTCTTTTTTGTAATAAAGGGGAAAAAATAGTTTCCGATTCACCCTTCCTTTCAGTCTATGCCTTGTAGTTAACAATGGCCCTAGTAAGGCGTTTCCCCTGGCTGTGTCCCAGAAGAAATTCACATTTTGACGGGTCTTTCTCCTCAGCTACCTGTTTTTAAAGGCAGGAGCTTCGCTGTCTCTCAGACCTCAGTCACATTTACCTGCCGCAGACAACACTGTAAGAGGAAAAAGGGCCACACGCAGGCGCCATAGAACGATACCGGACAGCCGCTCTTCCCGCTCTGTACGCGCTCCCCTCACGCCCCTTTTCCCGCCTCACCACTGCGCATGCGCAAGGCCGCCCGGGGCTGCCTGCTGTGCGCCTGTCAGGCAGCGCGTCCGGCAGCGTAGCGGGCACCTGCCGGCGGTGGTGGGCGAGGCCCCCTCGTTGGCGCCATTTTGGAGTGTCGGCGGTGGCGGGCCCAGTCCCGTGTGTGCGGTCAGCATGAGCGTGGTGGAGCACGTACGGGAGATGGCGTCCGCCGGGCTCCACTCCAACGTGCGGCTCCTCAGCGGCCTTCTGCTCACCATGAGCGGCAATAACCCGTGAGTGGTCCTCCCGCGGGGCGGGGGTGGGCTGGTGGGGCCGGTGGTGCTGAAGGAGCGGCCAGGCGGGACCGAGCTGGGGTCTCACAGGCAGGGAGTCATGGAGCCATAGACTGGGTTGGGTTGAAGGGACCTTAAAACTCATCCAGCCCCAACCCTTGCCACGGGCAGGGACACCTTCCACTGGAGCAGCTTGCTCCAAGCCCCTGTGTCCAACCTGGCCTTGAGCACTGCCGGGGATGGACGTGGGTTTGATGTTAGAGCTGCTTCTGGTGCCGGGTTATTGCTCTCCCGGCCTTTCCCGGGGTTTAGGAGGAGCAGCGCGGCCTGTACCCTTCAGGGTGCATGTTACAGCATGAATATCCTATTAACGCGGCAGTTTTCTCTTTCCAGTGGTCACAGCAATTCCCTTGACTCAATTAATCCCCATTATTTTTCAGGACCTTCCCATAAGGTGCAATTTTCCGTTTTGAATGGGGTTTGAGGCCCTAATTGAAGCCCAAATCCCATTCTGAAACCCTAACTCTTCTGCAAACATACGGGGAGAGTTCTAAAGGGGATGTGTAAAATGTGGGAACATCGGGATTAGGATGAGGAGAGCAGTAGGAGGAGCGGGGTTGCTTTTAGTTTTGAGTCCATTCAAACCAAATGTGTTTTAATGTGGTTTGTTATGGGGAGGATTCGGGCTGCTCCCTTAGGGAAAGCAGTGGCCAAGCAGCTAAACATAAGCTGTTGTTGCTGATGAGGTGTCAGGGGTGGCTATTGCCTCTGTTTGTATAGAGATAAAGTAAATTGGTGAGATAATCCCTTTATGAGGAGATACTCAGGGGTCTTTCCGGTGTAGTAAAGAAGCAGCAAGAGGTGGAAGTTGAAGCCAAAACTACAACTGCTCTGGTTCTTATGCAGCAGCTGATCTCAGCCTTTCTGTTTGCTTGTCTTGTAGGGAGCTGTTTTCACCATCTCAGAAATACCAGCTCCTTGTGTATCATGCCGACTCTCTCTTCCATGATAAGGAGTATAGGAATGCTGTGAGTAAGTATACGATGGCCTTGCAGCAGAAAAAAGCATTAAGCAAAACTTCAAAAGTAAGACCTTCAACTGGGAATGCTGCAACGACTCCCCAGAGCCAGGTACTTCAAAACTAACCAGTGTGCTGCCTAAATGAATGTGTCTGACTCAGTAATCATAGAATCATTTTGGTTGGAAAAGACCCTCAAGATCATCAAATCCAACCGTGAACCTGACACTGCCAAGTCTACCACTAAACCATGTCCCTAAGCACTACATCTACAGGTCTCATAAATACCTTAGATTGTGGATTTACATCAAATAAATGTGACATTTAAAGCTAACTTGTTCCAAAACCACTATCATGGTGTTTTCTAATGCAAAATTTAATATGGTCTCAAACATGAGATGGTTTCTGTATGTGTGGTTCATGTTTTTCATTGTAAGACAGGAGCAGTTTGAGCCAGCAGTAGGCTCATACTGGCATCAGTCGCTTTCTTGCACTAGATTTGTGCAACACAGTGCGAGCATTTAGTGAAGAAGCTGTGTTCAGATCTTTTACCTGACTAAAGCAACAGGGTACTTCAGTCTTTCCCTTTTATTTCAGTGTTTACCATCAGAAATTGAAGTGAAATACAAAATGGCTGAATGTTATACAATGCTGAAGCAAGATAAAGATGCCATTGCTATTCTTGATGGAATTCCTTCCAGACAGAGGACCCCAAAGGTTAGTTCTGGCAGACTGGTCACAAGTCCTTGCTCAGCATATCTTGAAAAAGATGTTGAGATGTCAAGGTGTACTGTGCAAATACAAAATAATGTAAAGTTTATCTTTGGGCTCAGAAAGAAGCACTTACTTCAATTATGTACTATATGATAACTTATAGGATAAGAAGAAGAAGAGCAGGTAATCTCATCTTTTGCCCAGAAGAGGGGGGAGGAAGGTATGCTTGCAGACAAAGTTGTGAGGATTTCTCCTTTCTCATACTTGACTCTACCAATATTTCTCTTGTTTGTAGATCAATATGATGTTGGCAAATCTGTACAAGAAAGCAGGTCAGGAACGCTCATCTGTTACGAGCTACAAGGAAGTACTGAGGCAGTGCCCTTTAGCACTCGATGCCATACTAGGTAGGTGTCTGCACACTGCTGGGATTTCAGTATTAAATGCTATTATAATTTGAATTATGCTTGGGACTAGGTAACTTGTCTTGCAGTTGCATGTAATACATAATGCCTACATCATGCATGTTATAAAATCAGTGTTAAGCTGCTTGTTTATGTTTGTCAAGGGATGGGGCTTCTGGTCTGCAGACAATTAATTTGTATTAAAAGCACCTTATAATGGCTGAAATTGATGTATATATGCTCCTGCACAGGCTTGCTCTCACTGTCGGTGAAAGGTGCTGAAGTGGCCTCTATGACGATCAACGTGATTCAGAGTATTCCTAACTTGGATTGGCTTTCCGTGTGGATCAAAGCGTATGCTTTTGTGCATACTGGAGACAACACAAGAGCAATAAATACCATTTGGTAAGAGTTCAAAGAGCACGATGCAGTCAAATAATGTATGAATATTTATATATAATTGTAGTTAAAATGGCATTAACAACAGCATTTCTTTCTGTTAAGCTCTTTAGAGAAGAAGTCATTGCTGAGGGATAATGTGGACTTACTGGGGAGCTTGGCAGACCTGTATTTCAGAGCTGGAGATAATAAAAACTCTATTCTAAAATTTGAACAAGCACAAATGCTGGATCCTTACCTAATAAAAGGTGAGTAAATCCTAAAAGAACGTGTACATAATGTAGTGATCTGATGAGTAACATTAGAGGAGCAGCTACATGGAATCAAACACGCAGGGGAATGTTGTATCTGCTTGTATCTGCCTTTCAGTTCAGAAGGTGTGTATCTGGAACCATTACTGGTAGAGGTACAGTTTAAAGTAGGTGTTCATGCGTTTGGTTTTGTTTCTTCTTGGTGTGAATGAACTTTCCATTTCTTGCTGATGGATCTTGAAACGTTTCTCTTTAGGAATGGATGTGTATGGTTACTTATTGGCACGTGAAGGTCGATTAGAGGACGTGGAGAACTTAGGCTGCCGTCTCTTCAATATATCTGATCAGCATGCAGAACCCTGGGTGGTATCGGGGTAAGTTCTTTTGTTGCCTTTCTTATCTCAGCTCTTGATTTGCTGCAGGCAGTGGATTGCAGTTGATACAGTGGATTCAGGGTTTTTTGTTCAGCAGGTGCTTTCATATCCTGTTTTGGGGCTAACTTAACTATCCATAAATACCTATTTTGGTTGTTTTCTGTATGCTTAAACTTATTAGAGTTAACACATCTGTGCACTAATAATGATATATTAAATAGCTGTAACAGTTAATATTCATACTGCTTTTTTTCTAAGCTCCTAAAGTTTGGGTTTTTTCCCCTGAACATGTATTCTTACCTTCAAATGCAGGAAGTTCAATAGTTGCCTGTAATTGCCTTTGTTTTTCTTCTTTTAAACCTCTATGAATGTACACAGGCACCACAGCCAGTACATGTTTACAACCCCTCTTGTCTTTCCATAGGTGTCATAGTTTCTACAGTAAACGATACTCTCGTGCCTTATACTTAGGAGCCAAAGCTATCCAGCTGAATAGCAACAGTGTTCAAGCTCTCCTGCTGAAAGGAGCTGCTCTTAGGAACATGGGCCGAGTCCAGGAAGCAATTATACACTTCCGTGAAGCAATACGTCTTGCACCTTGCAGGCTGGATTGCTATGAAGGTGAGTGAAGTGAAGCTACTCACATGTTCGCTATTGGTTTGGTGTCATGCTGATGGTTAGACAAGAGAATAGACAGTTCTTCTCTTTGTTTAATCTGGATATAAACAGACTTGGGTGTTCTGAGCAGATCACTTTGGGAATGATGATGTTAACTGTATGGTTAGTTCCACTGGGAGCTTCATTTTGTCATTTACAGCAGCTTCAAGTAAATAGTTCTGAAGAGCCCAGCTGAAATATTCATATCTTCGTACTGGAGATATGGGAACTGGAGAAAAAGATTAGGTGTATTTAGGCTTTTTTTAGTACCTATCTGTAAGGAAAGTCATAAAGCCAATTATGTGTAGAATGAATATGTTAAAATGCAGAGTTGCTTTCTCCACTGCAGTTTGTATTTGCTTATTGAAGTGTCAGGTGTTTGAAGTCTTGAGTGCTACTAAGTGCAAATAATTGAGGAGGGGTGAGTGTCTGTAGTGTGAACTCAAAACCTGAAATGTTTTATCTCATCAGGTCTCATTGAATGTTACCTGGCGTCCAACAGTATTCGTGAAGCCATGGTTATGGCAAATAATGTGTATAAAACCCTGGGAGCAAATGCACAGACGCTCACTCTGTTGGCAACAGTCTGTCTCGAGGACCCAGTCACACAGGAGAAAGCCAAGACGTTACTGGACAAAGCGCTGACACAAAGACCCGATTACATTAAAGCTGTGGTAAAGAAAGCAGAACTTCTTAGTAAGTTCCTTTGGTTTTTCTATGTCAATTTACTTAAAGCATGCTGCTTTACGTGGAAGAGTGTTTTGCAGCTTTATTGATGTGAAGAATCACATCAATGAAGTGATGTGAAGTGATGTTACAGCCCAGGGATTTATCAGTTCTATCCTGAAGGAAAAATCACAGGAATTAATTGCATCTAGCAGCTAATATTACACCAGCACTTAAAACAATTACAAACAAAATGTTCTCATTCCAAAGTGTCTCTGATAGTGAATGTAGCCATTATTGCAACAAAAAGTCATTGTTTAGAGTTAATCTTGCAAGAAGTATATTGTTGCTGTCCCCCCATACAGTTCTGAAGGAGGAAATAGTCCTGTGATGACTCTGTATGCTCTGACTTTTTATAGTTGTATGTAAACTATTAATTAAAGCTGTAGTTTTCCATATAAACAGGTAGAGAACAGAAGTACGAAGATGGAATTGCTTTGCTGAGGAATGCACTGGCTAATCAGAGTGACTGTGTTCTGCACCGAATACTGGGAGACTTTCTTGTAGCTGTCAATGAGTACCAGGAAGCAATGGACCAGTACAGTATTGCCCTAAGGTAAAGCAGAGACTGAGAGTGCAGTATATTTATAAGAACCAATTTACTTCACTAAGTAAAAACTTGAGCCACTAATAGATTAGGATCTGCATCAGAGGTACCTTTAGATCATTCTACCTTAAAACCATATGAACGACATCCCATTCATGACTTAGTTGGTCATAAAGCTTTGAACTGAGATGTGCAAACTTTAGGCACTGTATTAATGTTGAATATGCCATTAGACATGCAGTTCCTCAACCAACCAAAGGATTAAAGCATTTATGGCTATGAATTATTATATAGTCAGGCACCTCAAGATCCACTCCCTTAGACTAGAAAGCACTATATAAAAAAATGAGCTATTAAGTAAATTTAAGTAATGTGATTCAATTAAGCATAACCAAAATGTTATTTGATGGTGTTGCCATATTAACTGTTGCTATGTTTTGATTTCATCAAGTTATATTTGCTTTAAATATAGCCTATTATGTCCACTACAAACTTACATAGCTTAAATGGGTCAGCTGCTTTTCACTTGCACATAGTTACTTATAGCAATTTAAATCTTTCCTGCTTTTATGTTACTTTATAATTAGTATTATGTGGAAGAGTTGACAGAGTTTTCTGGAGGAGTGTGATGTTTAGATAAGCACGTTCTTGGGGATCAAAACTGGTTTATATAAAGATTTAACACTCAGTGTTACAGTCAGGTGGAGATGAAGCTGCATCATCTACTAAAATAGACTTTATGATGATGTTAAACAGGAAGTGCAGACAAGAAGATGAGGTTTGTTAATAAGGTCATAACTAAAGAGGAAAATAGAAGATTTAGGACAGTTCTTTCTTTTTCTTACTGTCCTCAGTTTGGATCCAAATGATCAAAAGTCACTGGAAGGAATGCAGAAAATGGAAAAAGAGGAAAGTCCAACAGATGCAACCCAGGAAGAAGATGTGGATGATATGGAGGGAAGTGGAGAAGAGGGGGACTTGGAAGGCAGTGACAGTGAAGCAGCACAGTGGGCAGATCAAGAGCAGTGGTTTGGCATGCAGTGATGGCCTCATCCCTCTGCTTGTCTTGGCACTTGAACACACCACCAGGGCCGTTCCTCCTTGAAGAACAGGAACGATATTTTTTTGCGGTAACAAAGGAGTTAAGTTCTTTTCTTACAAGACTCTGGAACCATTTAACAGTTCTATGCATCTCAATACCATGAAGATTCTTGATGCTTCGTATTTATTAAGAGTAAGGGACTGACTGAATTGGAGGTTATTTGCAACTTTCATTTCAAAAGATGCCTGCTAAAACCCAAAGCATTAGAATCTGAAGCGTGTCATAAGCCTGACGAAAACAGCATCTGAATTCTGTGCAGGGCTATTTGTGCTTGGTCTGTTTGTAAATACAGTGGTTTGTACTCCTTTGTGGAAAAGGTCTTACTCTTGTTTGTGTGCTTCCATTTGGGCTGATGCTCCTGTTGCAGCCTGGAGGAGCTGCTTGGGTGTAGCTGAAAGCAGCACTTTTTGCTGTGTTTGAATTAGTTTGTCTGTTTATAGGGCATTACAGGTGCTGCTCAGGAGGAGTTTGGAGCACTCAGAAACTTGGACTTCCAGGACACTTTTGTAGCTGACTGATTTCTGTGTGTACAGCATTGAGCCAGTGTTGGAGAATCACAGTTGCTTCCTCAGTCCTTATTAAACCCTGTAATCACTTCCAGACTCAAGATGAATGTTCATTTTGAAATGCAGTTTTATTTCAGGATGCCACTAAAAGGTTTCAGAGCAGTGACTCAAAAGCACTTCCCATTCTGTGTACAGCACTGACGTTTAAGGTGATGTAAAAAGAGTTCATCCCTCTTTGCTTGCGTTCCTGTAGCAATGTTAAATTATGCAAATACACGTCTTGTCTTGGTTTTTCCATGTTTATGTACTTCGTGTTTCTGCCAGGTGATACTGGAATTCGTGTGTTTTCTCTCACCTTTTGAAGCAAAGTTGCTTCATACTCAGGTTCTCAACAGCAGCATTTCCAGGGTGAGCTGCTTTGTGTAACCTAGAAACTGGTTTGGTTTTGTGGGCTTGATGTGTGGCAGGAGGGATTACTTCGTACTTCTCTTAAGGTTCTGATTTCCTTACTTTTTACTAAACCAGGTATTTTTATCTTTATATTGGCAATTGAATTCCTTTTGTATTTATCCTGTTAGCACAGGTATGCTGGAGCACAGGGACTCTTTACAAAGCTAAGAAATAGTTTTGAGTATCAGGTGGAGGAAAAGGGGAAAAACACCCTTCTCCCTACTTCAGGTGTATAATGCAGATAAGGGTAAAATCTGTCCCTCTGTGATGTGCATTGTATCAGTTAGAAAAATGCACAACAAAAAGAATAAGCAGATTGCTTCTATTATAGCCTGTTTCGGAAGTATTTCAGTGTCACATCTTATAAAGCAGGAGTCTAATAGTTTATCCATTTAAAACAAGAAAAGAGCTGGGTATTTGTTCTCTCTTGGAATTTTGTGGGCTTTAGGCTTTCCAGAATATCAAATGGAATTATGGCTATTTGAAGACTATATGGGAAGAAGAGGAAAGCGTGTGCTGCTGCTGCCTTGGTGATTGGCTTGGCAGGAGCTGGTACTGCTCTTTCCTTAAGCAAATACACCAAAAGGCTGCATTTCAGTCAGAGTAAACATTTTTCTAATTGCATTCTGGTGGGTTCTTGTGAAGAATCTGTTCTTGCTCTTGCTTTGTATTGCAGTGAATAGATACCAGCTCATTGCTTGTCTTTCAGAAGAGAAATACACATGTATCTCTTTGTTTTCTCCTCAAACTTGAGCACTCATCAGATTGCGTCCCGCATCTGGAACCTGGGTAGCTTCATCAGCTTTATAGATGCATCCCAAACCTCTGTTGTGGATGAAAGAATGGAGTTCTTGATGTCACTGCACTAAAGAAAGGACATACTAATATGATTCTATAATATTTAATTTTGATGAGAGAAATCTATGAGGTACGTGGTCTGTATTTTGCAACCTGCTGGGCCATTCTATTCTAATGATGCCTTTAAGTAGGTCATTAGTTGCGGGTGGGCACCACTGGCTTTAGGCATTTTCAGAAGCATTCACATAGAACAGGAAATTGGGAACCACAGTTCTGCTAAAGCCCCTCTGTAATATCTTTGTAGACAATCTGATAATTTCTTCTTTTAGAACAGACAGGAAGCTGTACCTCAAGATGAGTGTGCTCTAAAGAAACCATCAGTGTGCTTAGCAAAGAAGTTCAGTATGTGTAAGGACACCTGAAGGTAGCTATGAATAGAGCTGTGTCCTTGCCTCTTTCCTGACAACTTGGCTCCTTACTGGCAGTGAAAAGTTCAGTTGGATCCTGCATATGATACCTCTGTAAGTACCTGCTGTATTGGGATGATGCATCATATAGGTACATTTAGCACTAGCTTCAGAATTCTGGAGGGATTCTTCTTGCCTATTAATGAGCCTTCATTAGCATTCTAAGTTTAGAGTGTGATCTCTGGGTTTTGCAGAGATCTTGCACCCTCCAGTTCCTGGTGCTCTAGTTCAGGGAATAGAACAATTAGCTCATAATAAGGAGCTGACCTCATTCTGTCTGTTAATCATGTGCTGTGCACCATAGAAGAGATCATAAAGCCAAAAATGGGGAGTTCAGACTGTGTCGTGATCTAAGCTCCCCAGTGTGAAGCAATTCACAGGTGAGGCAAGAAAGCCTCAATGTATGGGGGTTGTAATGTATGGGGTTGGCCTGTCAGCAAGTGCTGGTCTTGGGCTGGATAAGGATAAAGCACCTGTGATTCCTTGAAATCCATGATTTAAATCACAGGGGACATTAGTAAGTTTGAATTCTTTCTTACTCTGCCATAGGAAAGATACAGAAGTGATGGAAAGGAACTGAACTTTTTCAGACCTCAAATCGATTTGGGTGAGGGCTAAAAGACTTGAGTGTACCAGAGCCTCAAAGCAGCCACGTGCTTATGATGTGGCATGGAATTACCTAAATAATGCAGGCCCTGTAGCAAGCTCTGTGCTCATGCGTTGTGATGTGCTGCTAACACCTGAAATACTGTCATTATTTCTAATTCTGCTGTCCACATCTCGGGTGAAGCAGAGCTCACAGACAGAACTGAGGACTGCTGGCCAGGATTAATGTTTTCTGTCTAATTGAGATGATTTTTCCTTTTCTATTACTGCTGATGATAGAGAAGTGTTTGATAAACTAGGACTTTTTATTCCTTTTGATAACTGTGTTCCTCATTAGGCCTCTCTCTGTGCTGTGATTTTTCCCTCCTTGCTTTTCAGGAGCTCAGTGATGTGGAAACGAATCTATGCAGGGTAGAAGCAGGGAGCATTTCTTATCTCCTCACTTAGATCTCAGCCATCTGAAACTCTCAAAGGCTGTGTCTGCCATTGTGATTCCAAGGTACACAACTATACCATAACCAGATACAGAAACACAGATCTAACATCCAGGCTGGGAGACTTTAATGATTGACAGAAGTGAACTACTTACATTGGCAGTTGATCCAAGAACTTGGGTTGAAGTGGCAGTACAAAAGGACTGATATAAGGAGGAAATTCTTTCCTGTTAGGGTGGCAAGGCACTGCAATGGGTTGCCCAGGGAGGTTGTGAATGCTCCATCCCTGGCAGTGTTCAAGACCAGGTTGGACAGAGCCTTGGGTGAGATGGTTTAGTGTGAGGTGTCCCTGCCCATGGCAGGGGGTTGGAACTGGATGTTCTTAAGGTCCTTTCCAACCCTAACTATTCTATGATTCCTGTGCTGGGGAGGTGGTGCATTGCCCTGTGCTTTATTGTAAAGGACGTTCAGATGCCAGCTCCTTCCCTGAACTATTTGGCTACTAGAAAATTCCCTGATTTTTTTTTTTGTTCCTGCTTTTTCCCTAATGTTTAGTCTATAATACATAATGTTATTCTTTGACGTGCATTACGGACAAGTTGAAGCTGGTAACTTGGCTTCATCCTCTTGGAATACTAAATAGTTTCCCAGCATGATGACATCAGCAGAGCAAGAGCAGCATCTGTGGCCACACATCTTGCTTACGCTGGTCTGAGTAAGCTGCATCCTTATGGTTCCTCAGATACGTATTTGTCTATCAGGAAGGCAGTAAAAAGCTGCAATCTGTGACCAAGGGGCTTTTTTTGCCTTGTAAAACTTGATGGGGTCCCTCAGTTTCTGTTTTTCTTACCGGGGTCCATAGTGAAAGCAAGATATGTTTGTATGGATTGAATTGTCTCCATCCCTCTGGTAGTTGCAGGTGGCCTGGAATGCAGGAACCTATTTAACATGGGGAAGGTTTGGCATTACAGTGAGGGAACAGTATTAGCCTAAGTTCTAGCTGCCCTGAGTAGCTACTGGATTCTGGTGTTGCTGCTGGCTGTTACATGAGGAGGAATGGGGTTTGAAGACAGACTTCACCTTTCCTCATCTTTCCAGGACAGCTTTTAGTCGGCAGGAAAGGAGGAGGTGGCTCCTTTTGGTGTCTGCTCTGTGGAGGATAATGTCACACTGGACCATGGCCAGTTCCATAACCTGGAGGTCAAGTGTTTGCTCCCCTCATGGAAATCTTGGCCTCTGAGATGTTTTAAGGACCTCCTGCCCAGTTACGCTGGAAATACTTGAGTTTTTGCAAAAGGGATTTAACCCTTCCTGTGTGTGCTTAGATTCCGGCTTTTGTTCCTGCTGCCTCTATTGCCTGGAAAGGGCGATTAGGAAACATAGATTTCATCTCCTTTCATGCTATGATTTATCATCCATGTTACAAATTCCAAGGCTTTACAGAGTTGAAGGAAGCACATCCATCATCTGGCTGTAAATAGTGTAGAGACGTTTACAACTTGCTACAGGGATTCCTTGTGTAAGGGACCACGCTGCTGGGCACGCAGCCACAGCATGCAGGGAGGTGCTGCCTGTGGCAAGCAGGACTTGGTCCCTTCCTAACCCCAGTGAGGTTTGCCTTTGCACTGGTAGCAACAGGTAAAGGGAAACTGAGTAGCTTGGTGGGATGCTGCCAGCAAGGCTTTCACCGAGATGGAAGTGTCTTGGTGAAGACTTCAAAGCCTGTTGTGCAGCTGGTGAGGGGAGCTCTTAATCCCATTAGGATTTAAGATCAGAGGATCAGCAGCTCTGGTTTGTGAAAGGCTGGATGCTGCTGGTCATTCAATGTACGTCTGCCTGATGAAAGGCCTTCTGGGTTAGGTAGAGATCTCCCTAAGGAGCATCTGGAACCTGGTTTGATGTAGGGAAGAGCTAAATGCTGAGCTGGTCTTGCCAGGACAGCTCTTGATTTCCCCACCAGCCACTGGCAGCAGCAGTGGTTTAGGTCTCTGGTTTAGTTGCATGTCCTGATTCAGAATTGATGCTGTGCAGTGCACACATTCATTCCTCAGGCCCGTTTCGGCACATCACATACAGTTTTTTGCTGTTTTATTGCAAAATCAGGTTGACACAATGCTGGGATGTGAGTAGAAACGTCACTGGGGCTGCTTGGGGAGGTTCCGTAGCTCCAGGAGGTGGAGGACTTGTTAAAGCCGGTTCTGGGTGCTTTGGAAACTTGGCCTTGGTTTCTGACAGGCCACGTGCAGTGTGCCTTGTGTGGCAGAGCAGAGATTGAATCGATGCCATAGCAGTTTCCTTCTGTTCCTGTTCCTTTGCTCTGCGAGAGGTCTGGATGCTGTGGATATGAGTAGTGTGCAGTTTGGGAAGCAGCTCATGGTGAGTCCATGCTCTCTGGTTGAGGCTGAAGTCTCCAGCACCTGATGGCAGGTGTGTGCTCATGGGTTGGTGGCTGTGCCTTGATTCTTGTGCAGTCAGTTCCCTGAAGGTATAAACCCTGCAGTGGGATGTCCCAGGAAGCTGGCAGTGCCCATAAACCAGAGGC